AGGCACAGGAGGACACCTGATAGGGCCCACACGGGGTCTCACTGATAAGACGGCTCGTTATGTCGACCTTGCAAACAAAGAATAAATCACAGTGATCCATGAGACTGACCAAATTGCCCAAATGGCATCCTGTTATCTCACTGGCACCTATCTTCTTAAAGCTGTGAGATCACCAGATTCCAGAACTCCAGGTACATGATCATCCCTTCAGTGAATTTTTCATTGGTGGGGTTATAAGTAGGACTCCGTCAGAAATGGAGAACATTGGTTCTCCTTAAGAGCCGTCACCTTCTCTTTTCCCTCAATGAATTTCCTTTTCTTGCCTGACTACCCTGCTCACTCTCTTTTTCTCTGCACTCACCTTACAATACCCACTGCTCAGCCCCTACCTCCCTGCCACATCCCCCTCACCCCACAAACCTTGCTAGTGCCTCGGAGTCCCTCCAGGGCAGGGAGAAGGGGAGGTTTGGCTACGTGGGATGGGCAGGGAGGGCGTTGGGGGGCTAGGGATTCTGGGAGCGGGCAGCAGGTATAAGCACATGGCCCGCTTTTACCTGGGAAGGAGGTCTTGGTCCAGGACCCACCCTGGGTGTGCAGAGACCCTGGACAGCATCCACCCACCTCCCCTTCCTCTCTCCTCCCTCCTTCTCCTCCTCCCTGTTCACCAGACTTTTTCAGGAATGAGGTCCTTCCTGAGTGCCCCCCAGCTCTCTGTTCATTATCAAGGGGAATGGGAGGAAATGCGTAAGTGCCCCCATGTCTGGGAAACCCAGGGACAGTTGGCAGGGGCAAGGGGCTCAAGCTGGGCACCCGGCCAGGTGTGTGGCCACAGCAAGATTCCAAGCCCCTGCCTTCTGGGTTCACTGGGATGGAGGGTAGTAGCCACGACCCCCAAGCTGCAGAGGGGAGTGGTGTCCCTGATGGCCTCAGGAAGAGGGGCTGACCTGCACCCCCAGCCCCACTGGGATCTGCTTGACCTCAAAGGTGCTGAGATGGAAGGAACATCAAGGTGGGGCCACAGATATGCAGGAGACAGAGCACGGCCATCCACCCTGGTCCAGAGCCTTCCCACTACTCTGCAGGGCATGGTGCGCTGGCCATCTGGGGTGGTTCAGGCCCCCAGGGGTGAACAGTTACAGAGGGGTAACTGGGGGGCGGGGGGCGCTGGGATGCTAGAAGCCTGAAGGGTCTCTTCCAGGGAGGAATGGGGGCTCTACACTTCTCCTGAAACTCAAGATCAAGATAAGAAACCGGTATTTACATGTCAGTGCATCCGAGGAGACCCCGAGATGGGTTGGATGTCTCCCTCTTCCCCGGGGCCACCAGGAGTCTCCAGCCGGAAGTCTGACTGATGTCTGGTTCACTGGTATTCTCCCCTGCTTGGCCTCAACCTGCTATTCCATCTCATCTGTTTTACTGGTTTGTAATTTGTCGACATGTCTCAGATTGTACACATGCTAGGGGTTAAAATCTTGCTGCTCCCTCCTGCTGCCCATCCCCCTCCACCCCAGCCCCTCCTTTCCAGGCTGAGCACTGCCAGGGCCCAGAGTTTAGTGCGACTGGCTTGGTTTCTGGAAGATGCTGCATCACTGCAGACTCATGTCACTGGAGTCTTAGGTCCTTTGGTCCCCTAGTCTCAGGGATGAGCAGAAGTGTCCCCACACTTCTCCTCCCTGTGAAAACCTCTAGAAGGTGTGGGAGGCCCTGAGATGCCGAAGGCAAATGAGACTTCAGAAGGCAAATGAGCCAGTGCCCAGCTGGCAGGGCAGAGATGCCACCAATTAGGGGGCTGGGAGTGAGGACCACTTCCCTAGACTGCATGAGAAAACCCTCAGTGCAAGCCAACAAGGTGCCTGGGAGTTGGTGCTGCCTGGGGGCTGAGGGCTGGTGGGGACTGGGGTGGCTTGGTCCCAATTCTCATGTGAAGACCGTGTTGTAGGGGAGAACACGGAAGCAAAGTGGATCCAGGATTAGAAGATCCACCTGAGAACCAGCATGGATCCCAAGACCCTTCAAGGCGCTTCCAGTTGTAACTTGAAGGGGAACAAACAGACTGGTGTTTCGCTCTGGATCATCCCTGAGATGGGGTGGACAGCTGTGGAGATTTCTGTAAATCCCCTATCCCTCCAGTAAAGCCCTGTGGCCCCTGCAACAACCCCCTGAAGCCACCGCCCCCTGCTCTGCGGCCCCTTCCCATGGGCCTCATGCAAATCATGGGGATGGCACAGCCACGTCCTTCCTGCTTGCTTGTGCTGACGCCTGGTCCTGCCATCTATATTGCTGCTGAGCACCTTCCAAGCCTCCCCAAACCCCAAGACTCTCCTCCTCCCAGGCTGCCCTGAGGCACAGGCACCACTGTGCTGGGCGAGGCATCAGCTGCACCTGCCCACCCGGTAAGAAGGCAGAGGCCTGGCAAAGGGGAGGCGCCAGGCTGTGACCGGCAAAGCCAGCCTCAAGGTGGACACAAGCGACCCCACCCTCCCTGCACTGGCTGAGCCCAACTCTCGCACGGTTGGTGGGGCCACACCTGCCCTGGACGCCCTCCCTGGCACACTGCGGTCACTTCTGCAATCCCTTGCCCTTTTCTCCTGTGCAGGGCAGGAAAGGTAACTTTCAGCATGAGGGAGGAGGCCAGCTCAGGTCCCATCCCACTGGATCAGCTCCTGACCTGACGTTTCGGCTTCAGCTCTCATGGAGGCTCGGCCGTGTTCAGGCCTGGCCCTAGTGGCTGGCTCGCCAAGAGAGCCAGAGTGGCAAGGCCCACTTTTCAGCAGTGAGACCAATGCTCACATTCTTTGATCCAAACAGATGCTAACACTTTTTAATAGGAAATAAGTCACTCAGCAGAGGGTATGTCGGGACCCCCACTTCTCCCTGGAACAGACCACATCCACCCTCGGTCAGGACCTCCCCGCAGGACTGAGGAGCTCATGAGGCCCCAGGTGAGCACTGCTGGGGGCTGCCCAGCACATGTGCATACATCTCTGGGGTTTACACTTTTTTTCTTTAAATGAAGGACATTCTTGTTTTCGCCCAAATCTTTCTTTGTCCAAGAACCTCTGTGATGAGTATGAATAGGATAAGTAGCAAAGACTGTCAATTAAAACCAGCATCTTAAAAAACAAACAAACAAACAAACAACAAAAAACCCAGTGTCTTAGTTATTTCCAAAACACTTCAACCACAACTAAACCATCAGACCCACAGCCGCCCCGCCACCACCACCCCGAGATGTAGCAAGTGGCCATGTGGGCCATGGGACACCCAGGGATGTCTACCCATCATCAAATTGAGGGTACAGCATCAGTCAAATAACTCAAAAGTTACAGAACAGAGAGAAGCCCACACTGGGCTTTCCTATCAGAGTTCACAGCATCCCATTCCGAGACCAGAGCAACCAACCTCTGAAAAGCCAAAATGGGAGAAGCCAGAGGACAACCCGGATGAGAGGAGATAGCTTTTCCTACACAGACTGAGGCCGCTGGTCCAACCTAGAGACAGTGCGTCCAAGCATCACGACCCTAAGGTCACCCCGGTCTGCCACCCACAGCCTGACCTTCATCCTTCCCAGATCTGCCCAAAGTCCTTTCAAAACAGGAACCACGATCCAGGCTCCTGTGGGGGTGGGAGCCCCACCTCCCCACAACCTGCAGTCATGATCCAGAGGGGAGCACACCCCATGTCATCGTCTGCATGTGGAAGCTTGGCCCCCTCATCGCCTGTGGGCAGGAGGGACTCCCAGAAGACCGAGGTGCAGACCCAGGGGTCCCAGCTTCCAGACTCCCACTGAAGCCTTACAGGCCTTGCAAGGGTTCATCCCAGGGTCCAGAAACTCTGCCCCTCCCTGGAGGAGCCTGATGGCTGCAGAGCCTGGGGAACCTGTGGGGCTGCGGTGGCCAAGGGTGCAGCCTTCTCTAGCATAGGGGGCAGGTGTCCACACTGGGTGGGCAGAGGAGAAGGTGCCGTGGTTCCTCCCGGGCCAGGGTCACCCGGAGAGTCCTGCCCCCACAGCCATTTCTGGGGCTCTCTTTGTACTCAAGGCGGGTGGGGCAGGATGACTAACTCTTCTCCCAGCAGGCACCCAAACCCCAGGCCAGATGCTTTGTGGGGTGGCCCTGGAACCTTGCCCAACCCTGGTAGAAGCTAACTGATGAACACAACCCTCCCCCTGGGCTGTGCTGCCCAGGCCTCCCCCATGGCTGGCCTATTTACCATTCCTGGCTCCCCTGACCATTACTTTTACGTAAAAGGCATGGATGGCTCTGAGACGAGGAGGGGGTTGTATAGACCTGAACTTGTGCAGACAGACCCTCAGCTGGACAGGAGGCCCCGGGTGAGCTGAGGATGGCCACATTGGGAACACACTCCAGGCTTGTGTCAGGGACCCTGGCCGGTGATGGAGCAGAGCCCAGCCTGGCATGAACACAGTGTCAGGGCCCCTGACTCTCAGGAGCTGGCAGCATTGGGGTGCTCTGCACAGAGCTACCAGAATATCAGATGCTCACCTCCACCCAGAATCCAGCACCATCAGCCCTCCCAGGCCCCCTATTGCTGCCCCTGGAGCTGCCTTCCCTCCAGAACCTTCTCCAAGGTGTCATGATCACTGATTCTGCTTCCCCGAGTGGAGGCTGCTGGCCCTACTTGGCTTTGTCTGCACTCAAGTCGGTCTCCAGTGGCCAGGGAATGACCCTCTGTCCGCTGACAAATGGGACTCCACCCTGAGCACAGGATTCCTTCCTGAGAAAGGAAGGCGTGGCTGCCCTGCCAGCTCCCGGGCCCCACGTCAGCACAGCAGTCAACATTGATCCTTGTGAGGGGAAGCTGGTCCCCTCCATTTACTCGGAGTTGAAAAATGATCAAACATTAGCAAATCAAAATTCGGGATGATTCATAAGGCACCTTGTTCAGTGGAAATGGTAGAAATGAGCTGACCGGGAGGGAAGGGGTGCATGTCCAGCATGGCTGCTTCCGGGCAGGGCTGCTGGGCAGGCCGCCTGAGGCTACGTGAGTGTGGGGTCCAAGATGCCATGGTCGGGGTTGCAGGTGAAGGCAATGGTGATGGCGTAGCGGGTGCCCCAGTGGACCTTCTCCACCCGATGCAGGTTCTCAGACCCGGAGGTGAAGAAGGATACACGACCTGGGAGAGGGGAGAACAGAGCATGACCTCGAGGTCACACACATAGCCAGGCCTCAGAGGACCTGAGTTCAGGCTGACGCAGGGACACTAGGAACCTGGTGGGCTGGGAAACCACTGATACAGGAAGGCGGGGCTTGGAGTCAAACCTGCAGGATGAAGGATGCCCCAGGCCTGGGCACAGCCTCTCTGTGGGTCAGCCTAGAATTGCAGTGAGGCCCTGCCACCCACCCCAGGGGCCCCTACAAGCCATGTGACCTCCCCAGACCCACCTGAGGATCTTATTTCTAATCACACATGGAACAAAACCAAACCCTGGAGGGTAATGACAATGTTTTAACAGAGAATTAGGAAAAACAGGTCAAGGCACACACCCAGCACCTATAGCTCCCTCCTAGGGCAGCTAAGACAGGACACAGGAGGGGGCTTCTGAAGTTCTTAGAGTGGGCAGGTCCTCCAGCCATCTGTGTTCAGAGAACCCAGTGTCTATGTGCTTCAATATTTAACTGGCCTCACATATACCACTGTAGATTTTTTTTTGAGGACAAATGGAGTTGACCCTAATGGAGTCATTAGGGAGGAGCCCTGGGATCCCACAGATGCCATGTTCCTACCACATGGCCCAGCACCACATGTTCCATGACAGGGACTTCCCTGGTGATCCAGTGGTTAGAAATCCACCCTGCAATGCAGGGGACATGGGTTCAATCCCTGGTAAGGGAACTAAGGTCCCACCTGAAACTGAGCCTGCAGGCCGCAATGAAAGATCCCATGTGCCACTACTAACACCAGATGCAGCCAAATAAACAAACAAATTAATTAAATAAAAAAAATTTTCCATGACAACTTCATTTCCCTTCAAAGGTCACTGCCAGGGACTTGACTGCTAAATCTTTGAAAGAGGAGAGACGTCTACCCCAGAGTCCACTGTTTTCTGGTTGTAAACAAAAGAACCGTTGTCTGCCCAAAAATAGCAGAACAAAAGGAAACATGTAACACACAGAAACCTCTGCATGGGGGCCTAGGGACACTTAGAACTCAGACCCTCCTCTGGACCAGCCAGGCTGCTCCTGACCTGAAGGGAACACTCTTTTCCAGAGCAATCTAGAGTCACACCACTTCCTGAGGCCCACGTTGTTAAAGGACATTTTGTCCTTTGTTTCTCTGTTTTCAATCACACCTGAGACATCAGACAAGCAGCCAGGCCAGTCTGCACAGTGGGCTCAATGGCCTCCTTGCCCATCCATGCCATCTGTGCACCCCCACCCCTGCAGACACGGTTATCAAATATCACTGACTTGTAGCAAGAGGGGGGGGGTTCTCTAGGGGGCCCCCAGTGTTTCTGCACACTTCGCAAACAGAGGCACCAAAGAACAGAGGAGAAAAGACTGAGGAAAAGTCAATCTCCTCATGGCCTGTGGGACATCAGGAAACCGTCCACCCCTCATGTTGGAGCTCTAGAGGGAAGAGAAGCTCATATTGGTGCAGAAAAAGGTGATTTGAAGAAATAATGACCAACACTTTCCCTACTGTGATGAAAACTTTGACTTTTAACCCAATAAGCTTGGCAGGATAAATACTTCAAGTGGGATAAAAAAAATTCACACTGAGGCACATCATAGTCAAACTGATGAAACCAGAGACTAGAGAGCAGCTTGCAGGTGGAGAGCAAAGAGGCAGCTTCTACAGGGAAGTGACTGTGGTGATGGCAACAAGGGAGGCAGAGGAAAAGGAAAATGGTTTTTTTTAAAAAAGAAAAAACCCACCAATCCAGAATTTCACCTCCAGTGAAAATATCCTTTACAAAAAAGCTGAAAATAAGAACATTTTCAGAAAATCATCACCAGAAGACCAGCACACCATGAAATGCTGAGGCAGAAGAGGAATGTACCTATTGGAACCTGGATGCACAGGAGGGTATGGAGGGGGCTGGAAAGTGAATAGGTGGGAAAACTGAAAACACTTGGCATATTTCCCTATTAATTTTCATAGGAGATAATCAATTGTAAACTCAGCATCCCAGGAAAGGCCACAGTCAAGCACCCAGAGTCCACCTGTGAGTCCTACCTGCTCTCGGCTCCACCGTCTTGTTGGCCCCCTCCTCCATGAACACAAATCGCCCCCCACCAAAGTCGTCCAGGTAGTCGGAAAGGTACAGTAGCGACGTGTAGTCAAAGGAACCATAGGTCACCTGTGGGCAAAGCATGAGGGTATGTCACCATCTGCTTGTGGGAGGATTTGGTTCTCAGGAAAGGACAGAACCCAGGCCTCACACTGCCCTCCCAATTGCAGAAAACCCTCTGCTGAGCACCAGCCTGCCAAGGTGATCAAGACCCTGGTGAATTCAGTACCGCACTGTCTGGGGAGCTGGACTTTCTACATTGACCTGGGCTCCCTCCACATCCCCCACCAAGACCCCATTTGGGGGTCCCTTATCTGGTATCAGGATACCAAACAAATATCAGAGCGACTTAAACCTGAGAACAGCTCAGGGCAGCGCCCTTGAGTTGCTTCAGCAGTGAACCTCACATCCACTAAGCTGCACAGAACCTAAAAGAGACCGGGATGGGGGGTGTCCAGTAGCCTCACCCTCTCCTACCCACCAGCTCAGATACTGCAAAGGAACCACCCCAAACTCATGTGAGCACAGTGACCTGGAAAGGAGGCAGGTTCTGGCAGGTGGTGGGGATGGCAGAGGCTGGTGGGGCCTGAGCTGTCCTGAGTCAGAGGCTGGAGAGCTCCACAGCCAGGAGCAGATGCTTCACTCCTGGAGTCCCCTCATGGGAGGACATCTTTTTGCCACATCCATGCATGAGCGACCCCTTGGCTATGACAAGCACCCAGGTCCTATACACCCTGTCACAAGACCTCCCAGCTCTAACACGTCTGAGGCCACCCTGCTCATCACTATTGACTTGCTTTCCCTGCCTGAAGAATATCTTCCTTATCTTTCTTCCTTCGAAGTTGGATCACAGAACCAGGCTACCTTCAATGTTGTCTCTCTTAAACCCACCCTTCCCAGTATGTGGAAGGCTGCTCTTTCTTCATGCAGGGAAATTCTTCCAGACTCCATCCCAACTCTAGGTTCCCTTCCCCATTTGCTGCATGAACCTGTCTGTCCTCTGCACATGCTGTCTTTGCCCTCAACCCCATAGAACCTTGTTTTCCCCTCTGCAATGTCTATGATGATCTTACACTGAAGGTCTCAGCCCTGGTTTCCTAATGAAATAATGCATCTAGACAATGGTTATTCAATGAGTCGGTGGCTGCTAAATCTGTGAGGTGACAGCAAACAGGAAGCTTGATCGTGGATGGATGAGTTTGAACCCAGTGATCAACCATAAGCCCACAGGAGCACCCACAGAAGTTTGGGGTGATGCCCAAACTTCCAACCTGAGTCCCCTCAAACCCCCTGAGCTACACTGGCTCAGATGAGCCACTGGCCACATACAGCTGCTTCAGTTTAGCTTAATTAAATACTGGGTTCCTCAGTCTCACTAACCACAGGGAAGTGCTCCTTCCTCCGTCAAGCTCAGACAGTCGAGATTAAATAAACACACGAATGTCTGACCGAATTTCAGGCAGAAGCCCAATCTGCGAGCTTCTGCCCAAACCCTCAGCTTATTTTTCACTTCACTTCCTTTGTTCCAGCATCAAGCAATGCAGAGATTATCTGGGTCACCTGAGCACACTCGCAGCTGGGGTGACCGCCAACAGCCCTCAGACGTTTCTGTGGCCAACTCTCCCCTGGCGCCACGCTGGGCGTGCTGGCCAAGGAGGTCAGGGTGGGGCTGAGGGGCAGGCGGGAGAGGGCTTCAGTTGTGGCTGATGAAGACCATTGATAGATTAGGTGTCTAGGGAACAACAGGAGGTCAAAGAAGAGGAATCCAGAGTGGTCAAGAGATCTCCCCCCCAAAAAAAGGGGGAAATGGGAGCCTTCTGGGCAGTGGGGGGACACATGTCCAAGGAGAGACCACCCAACAGAAAGGCTGAATCAAGGCCGGGTCAGGTGACAATTGATGAAGCTCATGGCTCAGGCAGAGACAGCTCTGCATCTGGGAACAAGTAGCAAAGGATGGTCCCCATCATGGCCCTCCCTGTTCCGTAACATGCGTTTCACCATCTTCTCTCACCTCACCACATGAGAAACAAGTCTTATTTCCTCGACAGCATCACCAGAGAGGAAACGTGTAAAACCCTAACTACGTGAACAGATAGCACTTCAGTGGACAAGCCCCAAGTGCACTCACCTTGTCCACGTGCGCGTGCCAATATTCGTCGTGAGCCGTCCGGGCCTCCGTGCTGTTGATGCGGGAAAAGAAGGTGGGCTTTGTCAGGTGCAGCGAAGATGCACTGATGCCAAACGCCTGGGCAATCGCCAGCTGGACCTTCTGCCGCACATCCCTGCCGAGAGGACACACGTGTCACTCGGAGCAGCTGGAAGAGGAGTCTCCACAGGTCCATGGGACCCATATCAAACACCACCACAAAAAGACGTGAACTGGAGAAGGAGGAAAGGTGAGCAAATACACACGTGGGTTCACACACATGTGACAGGGTATCATGTGCAAAACCAGAAACCTGAGTGCCAGTTCTCTGCAGGACTCACCCCAGCACTCCCAGGCCCCCACTACCTTCCCCTCCTCTGACCCGGGTGTTCCTTCCCTCACCGGTACAACTGGAAGTCCTCTTCTGAGAAGATAGTTTGTATTTTATCCCCAAAGTATCTGTGAAAAGAATAAGGAGTATTAACAAATGAGACATTTTATTAATGTTTCCTTATTTCCTTTGGGTCTTCCCTGGTGGCTCAGACGGTAAAGAATCTGCCTGCCATGCAGGAGACTCAGGTTCAATCCCTGGGTTGGGAAGATCCCCTGGAGAAGAGAATGGCCACCCACTCCAGTATTCTTGGCCTGGAGAATTCAACGGACAGAGAAGCCTGGTTATGGTCCGTGGGGTTGCAAAGAATCAGACATGACTGAGCGACTAACACATTTCCTTTAAATTCAGTCTTTCCTCCAGTTAACCAGAAAGTCCTTGAGAATCAGCTGGTCCTTCTTATCTTGCAGCTGCAATAACCATGTGAGAAAAGGGAGGGGGGTGGGAGGGCGGTACCTGGCAGGTGAAACTGCTGGTTGCTCAGTTATGTCCAATGCTTACTGACCCCATGGACTGTAGTCCATCAGGTTCCTCTGTCCATGAGATCTCCAGGCAAGAACACTGGAGTGAATAGCCATTCCTTTCTCCAGGGGATCTTCCCGACCCAGGGATCGAACCCAGGTCTCCTGCACTGAAGGCAGATTCTTTACCGTATGAGCCACCAGGTAGGGTGACGTCTATTAAGGTTGGGAGATCTCTTGCTTCTCCTGGCCCTCAGGAGGCAGCTCTTAGGAGCCTGGCCTGCCACTCACCTCTCCCTCCGACCCCATCCCTCAGCCCCTTCCCTACCTAGACTGTTTCATAAAGCAAGGTGAGCGAGTACCCAGCCCCTCAGAAGAGCTTAATCTCCCAGTCCTCTCTTGGCCCCAGTCTGATGGCAAATGCCGAGGTTTTCCCAAGACTTGAAGCCCTTCTGATCCATACACACAAGTCTCACTCAGGTTTCCCCGGATAAAAAATGGGCAGACCCTCCCACTCCAGGTTCTCACCTGTACAGATTTACAAAGTGCTTCCCAACAGACAAGGCCCCTGAGTGCAGGTCCAGGATGGACGCCTGGAAAAGACATTGGCAGAGTGGTGTGAGGGTTGCCTGGCAGGTGACTGAGCTCTAAAAGCCACCAACATTAAACACGAGTTCCTGAGACCTGTCCTCGCACACCCAGGTCAGGGCGACAATGCACACAGGCTGGGTTTCAAGACATTTGGACAAAGGTGTGTGAGGTGCTGGTTAGTTTCTAGAACAGGAGGCCCTGGAGTCATGCAGGTGCACTTGATTTCAGCCTAGCTCCTCCCTGTGACTAACTCACCGAGAGACAGACAAGTGGGCTGCTCCCAGTTCAGCTGCAAATAAAGCAGCTGTGACACTGGTGGACAACGTTTTTATCATGGGAGATGCTCTCGTTCTCCTGGGTAAATGCCCAGGAGTGGAATTGCTGAATCATCACTCTTTAATGAACCACCAGTGTTTCCGACCCCTGCCCATCGTGCCTCCAGGAGGCCTCCCTCATGTCTTAAGTGGAAAGTGGGCATGAGCACGGACCCACCTCTGAGTGTCTTTTCTCACTGATGCAACGACCATCCCAGGGGGTTTGTTTGAACACAATCTGGGCTTAAAAAATGTTAACTGCCCTTAAAGATATCAAACCTGGATGATTCCCTGCAAGACAACTTTTCACGTAAATGCTGAGCAGAGAGTAAAAGATGAGTCCACACACAAGTAGGTTTTAATAAATATTCCCCTTGAACTGAATCAAAATAAAATGAGAAGCTTAATTTTTAGAACTCAAAAGGAAAGAGTCTGCAGGATAAGAGTCATAGAGATAATGACTGAACTACCCAGAGGAGAGCAGATGTTCCCCCAGGACCCACACACTGGGCAAGGAGATCCCCACTGGGGCCATGTGGGAACTCCAATGTAAGGTGCTCTCACATATGGACTCTCAAGGCTACCCAGGAAGCAGATGAGTTGCAGAGCTGCACTGGCCTGTCTGAGTTCCCTGTAGTTGCTGTAAATGGCAGGCTTAAAACAGCAAGAATTCATTGTCTCAAGGTCTGGAGGCCAGAAGGCTGAGATCCAGGTGTCAGCAGGGTCCCATTCCTTCCGAAGGCACCAGGGGAGAATCCTTCCTTGAATCTTTGGGCTTCTAGTGGTGCCAGGGGTCCCTTGGTTTGTGGCATTTGTCACTCCACTCTGCTCTGCCTTCACATGGCCTCTTCTTCAGTCTCAAACCTCCCTCTGCCTTCCTCTTACAAGGACTCTTTTAATTGGATCTAGGGCGGCCTTGGGAGAAGGCAATGGCAATCCACTGCAGTACTCTTGCCTGGAAAATCCTATGGATGGAGGAGCCTGGTAGGCTGCAGTCCATTGAGTCGCTAGGAGTCGGACACGACTGAGCAACTTCACTTTCACTATTTACTTTCATGCATTGGAGAAGGAAATGGCAACCCACTCCAGTGTTCTTGCCTGGAGAATCCCAGCGACGGCAGAGCCTGGTGGGCTGCTGTCTATGGGGTCACACAGAGTCGGACACGACTGAAGTGACTTAGCAGCAACAGCAGCAGGGCCACCTTGATAATCCAGGATGGTCTCGTCTTGAGACCCTTAACTTTTTTTTTTTTTTTTGAGACCCTAAACTTAATGACATCTGCAAAATACCCTTTTCCCAGATAAGGTCCCATCACAGTTCTGGGTGGGTGCATTTTTCAGGGGTCACTGCTGGACCCCCTGCAGTCTCACTCAGTGGACAACAGTCTGTACACTGCATCTGTGGGAGCCTGAACATCCTGTACCCTCATTTCCCCTCGGAGGGAAAGCAGAGCCAAAGGGGTAAGAAGAAAACTGAAGCAAGAACGACATACAACTCACCCCTCCATCGGATCCTCCCAGGGACAACCCCTTCTCAGCTATGCTGTAGGAGAAGATCTTATGTCAGAATTCAGTTAACAGCATCATCTATGATACCTCTGGACACACGCCAATCACACAGCTAACACAATGTTAACAGACCACTTAATGTTTATGACAGAATCGCGTGTTTAGACCAAAAGACTCAACTTTAAAGCTGAGTAAATGTTAATATTTTGTCACTATCTTGTTAACAGCCTAAGACCCAGTTTGGGGACAAGTGGGCTTACTTTCCATCTTTAGTTCAGAGACCTGGTGCTGAGTTGAATGGGTTCCTCTGGGCTGGAAAGTCTCTCTCCTGTCATCACAGGCTGGAAGGCAGACTTTGTAATCACCAGCTCAGGAGGCAGAGGCCATGTGGTACCCTGGGCTGGACCTCACAGGACCACCTGCATCAGTGAAGACACAGGGGCTTCTGGTGCCTCTGACAGATGCTTCATGGCCACCCTGGAAACTGATTAGGGGCTGGATTCAGCCCTTATACCAGTGACACCCCCATACCCAACTGGCCCCTACAAGGTTATCTAGAAACAGGAGGAGAGTCTCCCCTTGGGACTCAGCTCAACACACAGACTAGACACTGCTCCACTAGGCACATGCTTGTGTCTGAATTCCATGTTGGAAAAATCAAAGCATCAAGATCTGCTTTTGAAAGACAAGGAAGAATCCAATGCCAACTACTTATAAGTAAGACTTCCTGCCTGGTCATGAGTTACGGAGAGCTGGTGGGAGGGCTGATCCCAATCAGTTTTGGACAGGAGACTGAAATATTGTCTAGGGACTGCCTGGGGCCGCTGGGTAAACCCGCTGTCTCTACACAAACGTCCACTGGGCCCCTCAATGCCTGATGGGAGAGCATCCCCCCCACCTCCCCAATGGGCCAAAACAGAGCACCCCCCCCCCCACCTCCCCTGCTGCCCCTGGAGAGGGCCTGGACCTCCGGAAGTTTCCATCAGCAACCACATCACTGAGGGCAACACCCTTTCCTCCTGGAAATCAGAAAAGCCCATCTTGGCCTTGGAAGTATGCAGGGGAATTCTTAGGGAATTCTAAATGAATATCTTGAATCTTCCTTTTAGTAGTAATTCTCTGCTCCCCACCCCAGCCTCACTCTCCCACTCGTTCAGGACAGAAGCTCGGAGATGTGTGTACCTGCGAATCCTCCGGGCTTCGTCCCTCGTGATGACGGCATCGCTAATGCCCCGGCCACACTTCCTCGGGGAGCAGCCTGGAAAGAGTCAAATCAGGATGTCACACAGCCTCCGCTAAACCCTGACAACAGAGTAGCATGCCATTGTCAAGGATTCACCTGTGGGCCTCCCTTCTCAGGGACAACAGAATTTTGTGGGATGGGGCCTTGCCTTTCACAGGATTAGGGGCCCAGGTTTGGAAATTACAGGCCATGTGGTCAGAGCGAATTTCAGATAAGCAATGGTGACTTTCCAGTTCATGCACATCCCTTACATCAAATTTCACTGTGAAATTTCCCCTATAAATTTCACTGTGTTCCTGGCGGCCTCACGCCAGGCAGGCCACTCTGGAAGCACCAGGCACTCTGCCCAGAGGAGGCATCCATGACATTCTTGAACCATCACTGACCACAGATCCAGACCTTTGGCAAGTCCCTCCTGGATGACCAAAGCTGTGCCTGCAATTGTAGCTGCTATCCTTTTGCAGAGCTGTTCTAAGGTGCTCCCCACCCACTCCACCCTGCCTCCCTCTGTCCCTGCAGCCAGGACTGAGCTGCTTAGAGGGAGGAGGATGGGGGACCTTGGATGGGGATGGGGCCAGAGTTGGGGTGAAAGTAGTTAGGGTTGGGTGGATGGGGCCATGGTTGGGGTGAAAGAGGCAAAGTGGGATCAGGGTCAGGGTGGACAGGATCAGGGCCAGCAGGGGACACAGCCAGGGTCAACATGACAGGCCCAGGGGTAAAGTGGCCAGGGTCAGGGTGGACAGGGCCAGGGTCAGATGGATGGGCCCAGGATGAGGCAGAGCACCATCCAGAGGTGGACCAGCTCAGCAAGTGCCTTGTGTCTTGGCGCAAAGGGCAGGCTGACTGTCTCGAGCTGGGTGGACCATACGATATGTGGCCAATGGAACACTCTGAGGACACGCTGGGCTGGCTGACCTTTAGCTTTCATCCTCCTTCCCCTCTTCCTGCCTGAAACGTGCCTGGAGGTATCCTGGGACCACATAAACCACATGCTGATGGGGAGAGCTGGGGGCTCAGCACAAAGGGCTCATAGGGAGCCAGGCTGACCTGGGGTGACTTTCTCTGGGTCTCATCATGTGGAAAAAATAAACTTCTACTTGGGGGTTATTAGAGAAGGGGTGCCTCAGTTCCATGGAGCTAAATACAACCCTACTAATACAAGATCTTGGGTTCTATTGAAACACAAAAATGCTTTTTCTGAGGGTTACTCCCTAAAGGTTGACGATAAAGGCAAAAACAACAATAACCAAACAGCAGCTTGGGGAGTGATACCATACAAACAAATACACGTAAAGGCAAAAGAATTATGATATGAGGGGGGAAGAGACTGATAATAGGAACGATTCACTAGGAAGATGCAGGGGCAACAGAAGCACCAAATGACATCAGTTCAAACACGTGAGGTGGCCACCAGACCCACCACTGAGGTGGAGACCCCGCCTCGCAGCTCCCGATAACTGAACGAGACAAGACGTCCAAGAAGACAGTTTGCCCACAAGAGTGTAGACTAGGAGACACTCCAAGCTTCACAACAACTGTTCAAAAACACACATTTTTCCAGATATACGTGCAACATTAACAAAAACATATTAGCCCAACAGGAAAGTCGGTTCTCTCCCATACAGGTTATGGTCTCCAGCTACCGGGCAATTAGAGAGAATTCAAACTCCACCAATCCTGAAATCTGAAAATCCAGCTGCGACACAACATGCTGACTATGAATGAGCGTTGAGTATCATTTGGACGAGAAAGTGAGTTGTGAGTGGTTGATTATGTCCGTGCATATACACAAGGGCACAGGACACAACCATGCAGATGTGCCTACCAGACACACAGGTCCAGGGCAGGCAGAGTCCCTGTCAGCTATGGGAGGCAAGAAGGGTAACAGAGGGGGGAGTCCAGAGACTTTGACGCTGTGTTTTTCTGGTAAAAAATATATAAAACCCCAAATTTACCATTTTAGCCAGCTCAGGGGCATTAACTACATTCACATTTTTGTGTGACCAACACCACCATCATCTCCCGAACTTTCTCACCTTCCCAACTGAAATCCCATCTCCATCTACACCAACTCCTCCTCTGCCTCATTCCAACTGTTTTTAATGTTGATAAATTATTAAAGGGGTATGAGAAATAATGGCTCAGTGGTAAAAAATCCGCCTGCAATGCAGGAAACACAGGTTCACTTCCTGGGTAGGAAAGATCCCCTGGAGGAGGGTATGGCAACCCACTCCAGTATTCTTGCCTGGAGAATCCCATGGACAGAGGAGCCTGCTGGGCTTACAGTCCACAGGGTCACAAAGAGTCGGACACAACTGAAGCGACTTAGCACAGAAAAAATATACTCTGTCAAAAGCTGGGACTTTACAGGGAAAAAGCTCACCAAGACAGAGACAGCATGCCCACAACAGAACCTGTCCACTCCTGACCCCAGAGGGGAAAGGGAACCCCAGTTCCTCAGCATGTCCATTTTTGCCAAGGGGCCCACACACCTCCATTCACTTTAACCCAACTTGTGCGTATCACAACAGCGCCGCTTGGTGGAATGACTCGGCAATCTTTTTCTTGGTTCAAGTCCAAAGCTTTGCTCTGAATAGAAAAATAAACTAAATTCTGTCTCTAAGATCCACTCACTCTGGCTAGGCTTTTAAAACTGCTGCCCTCCACAGGAGCAGGCAGGCGCCAGGATGGGACACACGCCATGGGGGAACGGACTCTGGTATCACATTTCCTGTTGCAACATTTTCTAATGTAACAATCCCCTAAGACAGAAAATGCCTTTTCTCAGTTCAACCTGCTCATTGATATTTTCCCAATTCTGTTACATCCTTCCAGGCAAACCACCTCTTCCACCAGATGGAATCCACACTGAGGTGGGGAGCACCTCAGTAAAATACGGGCCATAGCCTGGACAGTGAAGCCTGGCCTGCCCCTACACAGGTGGGGCCTAAAACATTCACACTTCCCGGAACAGGTGTGAGCTAACCAACGTTGGGGGGCGTGGGGGAGGGGAGGAAGGTCACCTGCCCCACCCCACACCACACTACTTTCAACCTGATTCCCACCAATTCATCGAAGTAAAAAAAGACGCATTTTGAACACACTGAATTCCATGTTAACATGCTGCTCTTTCCTGAATCACCTCGGCACCGCGTACCTTCAAACCTTCGGTGACTGTCATAGTCCTCAGAGCAGGGCACCTCGATGAACCTGCCTGGCAGGATCTCGCTGCGGTGAGCCAGGACCTCAGTGATGCCGTCATCACCCCCCAGGCTGCCCCAGAACAGGCAGGCGGCGAGCGCAGTGCAGGACCCCAGGACAGCAACTCTCAACCACTTCTTGCGCACATCCCAAGGCGCCCGGATACTCTTGGTGCTGAGAACAGAAAACAGCTGTGGTCACCCGAAGGCAACTGCGTGTGCTGAAAACACAGACCACAATGACCAGAGGCCACACCCACACTTAGTTACAGTCTTATACGGTTCCCACACTGGTCATCATCAGAGCTACTCTCCATCAATCCAGAGGCACTTGCCAGCATAGGAAGACATGGTGGGAAATGTGCCCCTTGCTCCATATGACCAGACAGGGCTCACTATGCCCCTGAGGACAAGATGAACTGCCAGTCGGGGTCCCTTCCAGCTTGCCCATGTCCATGGAGAACCATCTGGGAGATCCTGACAGAGCCTGTGACATCAATCACATTGCCTGCATCTGAAAATAACTGACACAACCCCATGCACTGGCCCTAGGGTACACACTCACACACAATGTGAACTAAGGTAGTGAAAGTCGCTCAGTCGTGTCCATCTCTTCCAACCCCATGGACTATACAGTCCATGGAATTCTCCAGGCCAAAATACTGGAGTGGGTAGCCTTTCCCTTCTCCAGGGGATTTTCCCAACCCAGGGATCGAACACAAGTCTCCTATATTTCAGGCGGATTCTTTACCAGCTGAGCTACCAGGGTGAACTAAGGTAAATATGAACCAAACTCATTTCACTGAAATCACCAGCCAGCCAGGAAGGGAATGCAAGTACAACAGAAATGATTCAACACCAAGGCACTTTCTGTACCACCTGGGTTAACTGTTGGAATCACGCCGCCTATGCAGAAGTTGCAGGCATGTCTCTATGTGTGTGTGTGTGTGTGTGCATGCACACGTGTATCTATGTGTGTTCAGATGGTGTATGTGTTTTCTCATATGTGTAACTGAGCAGCCGTGTACTCTGTTAACTGAGAAAAATGTGTAGGGCTTGAAGGACTGGCAGGAAAGAAAAGCAATCCGGACATTCTTTCAGGAGGTGCACCTCGAATCTTCAAGTATATGATTAATTCCTGAAAAGCAGGGAGTCTGCCTTCTATTTTTATACGTCCCTCCACATTTCAAATTGCTTTATATATAAAACACACACGGGCTTCCCTGCTGGCTCAGAGGGTAAAGAATCCACCTGCAATGGAGGAGACCAGGGTTTGATCCCTGGGTTGGGAAGATCCCCTGGAGAAGGCGTGGCTACCCACTCCAGTGTTCTTGCCTGGAGTATTCCATGAACAAAAAAGCCTGCAGGGTACAGTCCATGGGGTTGCAAAGAGTCAGACATGACTGAGCGACTAACACTTTCACACTTTTACTTTACAACACACAAAATCCGATTAAATAAGTCTCAATGTGGGCACAGCTGAGTCAGACCATATTGGGTGGATACGTGGTCATTTTATTTTATTTTGCCTATTCACTAGTAAGACTTGATTTTATTTTATTTTTTCATTTATTTGTATTAGTTGGAGGTTAATTACTTTACAATATTGTAGTGGTTTTTGCCATACATTGACATGAAAAAAATATGGAACGCTTCACGAATTTGCGTGTCATCCTTGCACAGGGGCCATGCTAATCTTCTCTGTATCGTTCCAATTGTAGTATATGTGCTGCCGAAGCAAGCACTACATGGTCATTTTAAACAGGGAGCATAAAGACCCCCCCACCCTCACCCCTAGAACTGCTGTCTAGCCTCTAGCCCACCTGGTCTCCGTGGACCCCTAACTCCAGTGGGGCCAATATTTCTCTTCCCCAATAGGGCAGGGAGACTGCCAGCCCATCTCAGCAGCAGGGGCTGAAATCCTACTGTGGGCACAAAGCTGTTGACACCTTCGCCTGGGACACCCCGGGTGCTGAGACAGAAAGGGACGGAGAGAGAGGTAGAGACTAGAGGGGAAAAAACAGCGTCCTGGGCCAGATTAGGAAACAATACTTCCCTGAGGTGTCCTCAAAATAAGCACCCCTGTTCAGGGTAAGCTGGCCGAAATGCACACTGAGAATCTTGCCAAGGCAGAAGTGGGTTTGGAGCAAGGTCCATGGCCCATGGGGCAAGCACGACGAGAAGGTAATTTATTCTGGAGTGAATACACTCCGGCTCTGAAAGCTTCAGGCAGAATCCCCTCGAAGGCAACCGTATGAGATCATTTATTCATTCATCAGGTCCCCCAATGGAGAACCATCACGTGCACAGCCCTGAGAAAAGCACACGGAGACCAGACGATGGGGACCTCTGAGTACCAGTCCCCGTGCGTAGTCTCGGCAGAAAGTCCTCGGTACACACTGGAGCGGAGGTCAGGGAAGGTTTCCCAACCGCCAGCTCCGCCCAACCCCGCCCAACCCCTTCCAGCGCGGTCCGGGCTGGATTCTGCAAGCTACGCCCTCCGGACGACCACGCCCCTCTAGGCGCCCGATTACGGCCAGGCCACACCCACACTGCAGTGCCTTTCCCGGAAAGGCCCTGCCTGCACCAGATCCACCCTTTTCTGACCGGGCCACGCCCACAGCCACACCACACCACGCCCCTGTTAGGCCCCGCCCCTCGTCCAGGCCCCGCCCACACCACCATCCGCGCGCTCCTAGCGCTATCTGGTACCTGCTCTGGCGCCGGCGCTCCGCCGCCCCGCTGCTCTCGGGGGCCTTGGGAGCACCCCTCCGCTGAGGTGCCATTAGCCACGTTACCGCGAAGCTAAGCCGAATGCGGGACCTGCCACAAGCCGGGGACAAGTGCTGCGAGAGGTAGCGCGAGGCCGGCGCGGCCGGGCACACGAAGCGACACCCTCAGCCTTCAACCTCCGGGCTGGTGACCAGGCCTGAGCAATCGGAGGTCGAGCGCCGAGCGGGGCGGGGCGGGGACCCGAGCGCGGACCTGGCTTGCTCCCCGCGGCGCACCTGCCTTGGCCGTGGCCCGCCTCACCTGACCTCCGCGGAACCTGATGAGCCTCCGAACCTTCTACTGAAGTGTGTCCTTGCCCCGCCGTGCGTGCTCTATCGGGGTTTCCAATTCCTCCTAGAGTCTTGAAGCCTTCTCCCCGCGGTGTCCAAGCCCTCCTCCCAGGGTCTCCGCACCCGCTCCTGTGGGATTTCCAACGCTCCTTTCCCTGGGCCCATGCCACACCTGAGGGCAGTGGGTCCTATTGGTGCTCAGTATCTGTGAGGCCTGCTGTTTAGTTTACAACGTTCAGTTTCCTGTCCAGTGGGCAAGAAGTAAGATCTTAACCAGTCCTGTCAGGATACCTAAGATTCTGAATGAGTGGAATTAGCGGTGAGGTTCATTCATAAGAATTAAGTCTAAAGAAGGTGAGTAATTTATTGACACAGAGTGGGGAAAAAAAACCTGGACTCATTGAACAAGAAAAGAGATTTGCCCAACAATCCCCAAACTGGGGAAATCAGATGCCATCGCCTGGCAACTTACCTAGAAGCCCAAGAGACCAGGACAATTGCAGACCTACCTACCAGGTTGTCTGATAACAATGGTGACAATTGACCCAAGTCGGAAATAATCATATTTCTATAGACCTTGTGCAGGAGGGAATCAAAGTAAAGAACTACACACTTGCAAGAGGGAATACTAACTTCTCTCTCTCCTTTCCCTTTAGATTTTGCAGCAATTTACTTTGGTAAACAAGTCTGAATGTGTCTGAATCAGGTAAGATGTCGGTGTTCATTCCTGCTGTAGGGCTATAGGAAAAGTAAGAAGATTTCTCTCTAAACACAAGGAAGCACACCCAGGACTAATACAGACTTCTCAGCTCAAAATTTTTTCTTTTAACTCTATTCTCTAGAAAATACATTTGGGTTATGAGTTTTCTTTTTTATTATTTATTTTTTCAAAATGTAAAGCAACTCAGCTTTGAAACATTTCAGTTTTTCAAAATGCTTTGTCTTAAACTCATCCACTTCTCAGATAGCAGTTTAGGTAATTGCCTTAAGAACTTTGTCATTGAGATTGTTTTGAATATAATTTATTTTTTTCAATCAAACTGGTTGATTTCTATGTGCATTATGTTATTGTCTCCGCTATATTATAAAGTCCCTAAGGTAGGGATTTATGAATCTTTGCACAGAATGAGTAGTTTGAATTGTGGAGCTGAATATATGACCAATATACAGAGATTTTCTTTTCTTTTCCTGTCTAATTCTGTGTGTTTTATGCTTCATCCAGATACCTCCTCTAGTTTAACATAAACTAGTCAGCACTGATAAACTTGTGACTTACCTGTTTTTAAATTATCAATGGCCTATTTTAAATCCTAGACAGTTTTCTCTGACCTAGGATAAATTTTTACAGTTTCTCCCTCCCTGCAACCAAGCTGACTCAAACTCTAAAAATGCAAATTATTTTTAATACTATTTAAAGTAGAATAAAATTGAGGATCAGTTTTCTACAGAAGCATCATATCGTGGGGCCTGAAAAATGTTTAAGAGATATTTGCCTGTTTTCACTGGCATAGTATATATAGGATAAGACAGTCTTTAAAACAGGAGATTATTTTGCAGTCATTTGTATTATTGTAGATTATAGCCATCTTATAAGTAAACCAGTGCTGTATGACAAGGGTCCTTGTATTTGAACATGAGTTTTCTCCTAGTTCATATCAGAATTGAAACAGACATTGGAAGGACATAACCCTGAATTTCTGCACTAGGAAGAAGTTCCCAGAAAAGAGATTTTTTAGTTATATGACTTCTCAAAAAATAGTGAGATGTCGGGTTCCTCACCATTTAAGATGCGACTAGTTCATCTGGACCTGAAAGGAGCCCCACCAAAGGTCTGCTACCTCTCGGAGGTAAGAGCTCCCTTTCTTCTCTAGAGAATCACTTTGCTCGGGTTTGGTTATGCAGGTGTGAACAGCGTTCTGTAGATACATTCTTGGAACACAACCATGGGTTCCGAGTTGAGGCGTGGTGGCAGCAGCGTAGATCTTGAATTTCCCCCATATCCCCTCACAAAGCAGATAGCAACCAGGATAGCAAAAGGAAAAACAGAAAAGACAAAAACCCACAACCTCTGTTGTGAACCAAATCGTGTCTCCTAAAAAGATATGTTTAAATCCTAACCCTGTGGACCTATTAATGTGACCTGTGATTTAAAGATAGGGTCTTTGCAGATGTCTCTGATGTTAGATGAGGTCATATGGGAACAGGGTGAGCTCTAATCCAATAAATGGTGTTTGTATAAGGAGAGGGGACAATAGACACAGGGAAGATGACATGAGAACATAGGAAAGGTACCACATGAGGACAGAGGCAGAGACTAGGATCGATGCATCTGCAAGCCCAAGAGGCTTAAGGATGCCAGAAACTCACAGAATCTGGAAGAGACAGGGAGGATGCCCCTTACAGCCTGGGAGGGAGCATGGCCCTGCTGACACCTAGATTTTGGGCTTCATCCTCCCAAGCTGTGAGAGAGTACATTCTTACTATTTCAAGCCCCCCGGTTTGTGATGACTTGTTATGGCAGCCACAGGAAAAGCATGTACTCTAAAACAAATGTAAGTTATCAGGGTTTCCCTGTGAATGCCAAAATGCAAGGGGCAGGGCCAAACCACGGACAGCTCAACATGGCTGTGGGATTAGCAGCTGGGCAGGGGATGGTAGAGAAAAGATAAAAAAGAATTTAGGATCTTCCCTGGTCGTTCAGTGGCTAAGACTCCAAGCTCCCAATGCTTGGGGGAGAGGGGGGCCCAAGTGTGATCCCCAGTCAGGAAACTCGATCCCACATGAAGCAAATAAGAGTCTGCATGCCACAGCGAAGATCAAAGATCCCACATACCGCAACTAAGACCCAGTGCAGTCAAATAAATAAAAATAAATATTTTTTTAAAAAATTCAAGATGACTCCAAGACCAGGGAACCCACAAAATAGCCCAACAAATAAAGGTAAGTCAGAAACTGGATGAGATGTCACTGGCTCCAAATTGAGGATGAGTGCTCAAGACCTCAAGGCATTCCAAAATACTTTCCAGAAACTTCTTCCAGAAGGACAGAATCCCACACTCAAAATGCAATGTTGGGAAAAGACTCCATCTTGAACTGGGGAGTAACATTGAGGTAAAGGAGAGAGAAGTTTCAAATGCTGGAGGAACAGGATCCAGAGGGAGTGAAGACTGAGTGCTATGGAAGTAGCTGCACAAAGTCCGTAACTGCTAATCCTTTATGTAACAGCTGCAGAGGGAGCCTGGGCTGGCCCAGCTCCATCCCAAACATTAGAACCTGCTCTCCAAAATAGAAGAAAACACATCTCATTGTAAAATGAGCAATCAGAAAGGATTGTGTGGTTGTGCCATACAAAAATACTGCCAGAAAATAGAGGACAATGATTTGAGTAACCGTGAAGGTGCACCAGGACCACGTGACTACAAAGCAGATGACACAGTTCTTTAATATTTCAGAACGAGATCAGAGATACTAAGAAAGTGATAGAAGCTATGGACGAACACCAAAAGTTAGAAAAGCCCAGTCCCACATGCTGCAACTAACGACCCCCCGTGCTGCAATGAGGATCAAAGATTCCCGCATACCGCTCTTAGAACCCACGGTAGCCAAATAAATATTTTAAAAAGTCCAGAAAGCAACAGCCAGACAGAAGTAGATTGTGAAAAGATTGCCTCCAGACTCAGGGATGAATTATAAGAAAAAAAAAATCAGAAATAGAGACTAAACTAGAAAAAGGACAAAAGTGAATAAACACCATGGGAACCAGTATTGAGAAAGCAACAGCAGACAAGAAAAAAAAGTCAAACATGAAGAGAGAAAAGCACGGTGACAAATGGACAGATGTGAAAGACAGGCAAAGAAGACCTAGTTTATGTGTAGCTGGAGCCCCCTGCTGCTGCTAATGGACAGAGTCAGGTTCAGACAACAATTTCTTATTCCTCCTGTCCGAGGATTTGCTGAGTGGCTCCCTCAGGCTGAGCTTAGCAGCCTGTCAGCCACCCAGAGCACCAAGGATCTCTACCAGCCCCAATAGAAATGCCAAAGAGGCCACCCAATGGTCAGATGGCCAAAGGCTACAAGGGATACCAGGAGCAAAAACACTGCAGAAAATATGGAAATGCTGTAACCATTATGTTTCATTTGTGCAAGTGACAGACCTGGGTTAGTCTGACTCGTTTCCAACAAGCAGCCTCCTCTTATAATTTGCAGTCAATTATTGATGACCCATTTTATAAATGATCCTAGCGAATTATTGGTCCCAAGCTGATTTCCTTCTTCTATCCAGCATGTTTAAGAATGTTCCCATACTCTTGGGGAAAGAAAACGTTGACAATAACATCAGCGAGAGTGCTACAAATTGTGCAAAACCTGTAGTGGCCCTTGTCTGGGGGTGGTTTTATATTCTAAATACGTGAAGGAGCCCCCACCCCTGCCTGTGATGCCAGGCTAGAAGAAAATCTCAGTGCTGTGTACAGTAGATACAGCCCTAAAAGTCCTGGAGGATAGGAGTCCATGTTCTCGAGATAAAGGTGGAGAAAGAAATGGGAGAGCACCAGGGCAGGAACCCCGTGAGCACAGAGGGACAACCTCTTTCCTCTGTCATCTCCCTTCTCTAGGTTTCTTCCAGGTGCTCACCACTAACCCTCCAGAGCCCTGTAGGCTCCCATCGCCCCAGCCTGCCCCTTCCCTGTGTTCTAGGAGGCCCCCACGCTGCAAGTCTCATCCAGATGAGGTGCCATCTAACCCTGCTTACCCAGCCCTCCCTCCCCAGTTAAGCCACCAGGAAGCTGCTATTCTATAGCATGCAGAAACCCCGTCCCTTGTGTCAAGTGAACATGTCACTGCATTTGTGTTTAGTTGGCATAACACAGGAGTACACATATCAGGTGGAAAGTTTCCAGGAGAATTATCAATCCAAAGATCAGCTATAATCCATGTCCATCAGCTGAAAGAATGAGTCTGTGACCTGCATGTGTGTTGTTTTCCATTCAAATAGTCATTTTTTCGTGATGTTTCTGTCTCCTCCCCAGATTTTCCCCCTGTTCCGTGCCCTGGGTGCAAATGGCGTCCTCATTGAGTATGAAGACATGTTTCCCTATGAGGGCCACCTGAGGCTGCTGAGGGCCAAGCATGCGTACAGGTACCTGAGCTGCCAAGCAGGGTGATGCCTCTGTAGAGAAAATGGGATGTGCAGGGCAGCAACCTGGAGGGGAGGGGAGGGGAGATAAGAATTGTTAAATGCATGTTTTTAATCATAAAAATAAAGCACGTTCACTGAAGAGAATTTGGAAATGTTTAAAAGAAAATAAGCATCCTTATAGTCAAAGCTATGGATTTTCCAGCAGTCATGTACAGATGTGAGAGTTGGACCATAATGAAGGCTGAGTGCCAAAGAATTGATGCTTTTGAACTGTGGTGTTGGAGAAGACTCTTGAGAGTCCCTTGGACTGCAGAGAGATCAAACCAGTCCATCCTAAAGGAAATCAGTCCTGGGTGTTCATTGGAAGGACTGAAGCTGATGCTCCAATACTTTGGCCACCTGATGTGAAGAGCTGATACATTAGAAAAGGCCCTGATGCTGGGAAAGATTGAGGGCAGGAGGAGAAGTGGGCAACATAGGATGAGGTGGTTGGAAGACATCACTGACTGAACGGACAAAGTTTGAGCAAGCTCTAGGAGATAGTGATGGTCAGGGAAGCCTAACATGCTGCAGTCCATGGGATCACAAAGAATCAGACATGACTTAGCGACTGAGCAACAACAACCACAAATGATCCCCCAGAAGGAAGTGCTGTGATATGTTTCAGTCTTGTCTGTGGATGTGAAATGCATGGAGGACACTTTGACAGGTGTCCATGCAGGAGAAGGAGGGAGGGTCTTTAAGGCCCCAGGTGGGATCTTCACCAGAAAAGTGAGGATTAACGGGGAAAGGATCAGAATCAGGAAAGTCAGATAGCATGGTCATGGGCATACCGCACTTGGCTTTAAAATGATGGGTATCCATGTAAATCAATAACAAATAGCCCAAAGGAAAATTGGACAAAGAACATTTTGATCCCCTCCAAAAGAAAGAAGTATATGATAATAATAGAACAATGAAATGCCATTTTGGCTACCAAATTGGAGAAGCTTTTAAAACAAAATGATAGTGCTCTGTGTCCACGAGGGTGAGCAAAAACTAGCCTCCCACTGGTGGGCTATAGAGCAGCCTAACCATTCTGGAGGGTGCTTGGCTCCATGTGACAGAACTCCCAACACACTTCCCATTCCTGTGAATGGGAAACAGGAAAGGCGTGATCCAGAGCATTAATGTGGTATGATGGCAGAGGTATTCGTGTTTCTTGGTACAACAAATGTGTTCTGTTCCTTTGTTTTTTAAAAGTGAAAAAGGTACCAGGGTTCCAGTGAAGCTTGAAAAAGGTATATTTAAAGATAGAACCTTATATAATCAGTTCATTTATAAAACTGGCTAACTTTAGAGATGGTTCAAACACAGAAATCGAGATGAATTCATAAATGACAACTCAGAGCAGAGTGGTCAGGGGCCCTTCCGGGATGGCATCCTCAGTGGCAGGATGTTGACCTGGGCGAACACTCAGGCGTGCTGACAGTGACTTCCTTCCAAGGGTTTTATCCATTTGTAGATGGATAAACAAATGCATGCGTGCTCAGTCATGTCTGACTCCTTGCAATCCCATGGAATATAATCTGCTAGGCTCCTCTGTCCATGGAAATTTTCCAGGCAAGAATACTGAAGTGGGTTGCAATTTCCTACTCCAGGTGATCTTCCCAACCTGGGGACTGAACCCACATCTCTTGCATTTCCTGCATTGGCAGGCAGATTCTTTACCACTGAGCCGCCTGGAAAGCCCCAGTAGATGGGGTTACTAACCGCCTCAGATGAGCCACTCCACCTAGTCTTGGAATTCTATTAAAGGGGTCACCAGTCTTTTCTGTAAAGGGCCAGACAGTAGATATTTCAGTCTCTGCAGCCCATCTCATCTCTGTAACAACTGTTTGTGGGGTAAAAGCAGCCACAGGTGATAATAATGAGTAGGCATGGCTATGACCCAATAAAACCCTATTTGTGGACACTGAAGGATGAATTCCATACAATTTTTGTTCTTTTGTCGGACACTCAGTCATGTCCGACCCTTTGCCACCCCATGGACTGTAGCCTGCCAGGCTCTCTAGTCCATGGGGTTTCCCAGGCAAGAATACTGGAGTGGGTTGCCATTTCCAGGAGATCTTCCCAACCCAGGAATTGAACCCGTGTCTCCTGCATTGGCAGGTGGATTCTTTACCGCTGAGCCATCAGGGAAGCCCTCCCATACAATTTTTACAGGTCACAAAATGTTTTTCTTCTCTTGATTATTCTCAACAATTTTTAAATGTTGAAACCATTCTTAGGTCATGGGCTGTACAGAAACAAGCGGTGAATTTACCCTCAGGCCCTGTCTTCCCACCGTTGTTCTAGACTATGATTCCTTGTGTGGCTCAGTTTCTGGTAAAATGACTTTAGCTTCTTGTAGAGTTTGAGTCAGAATAGTTGGTAAGAAGTAAACTGTTACTTGATGATATAACAGAGCATCGTTTTCCTGAACTGTAGCATGGAAGTCTTCTCTGAAAACTTAAGAATACCTGTTGGGCTTTTCAGAGTTAGTGATCCTACTGGTTTCATCAGTAGAGTCCCCCAGGAACCTGACAAGCGAGGATTGGGAGCCTAAATGGAGGCCAGCCTGCACTTCTTAGGGTGGTCTTTGTCTCTCCAGCCCTTCCGAAATCAAAGAGATCCTGCACCTGGCCACACTGAATGAGCTGGAGGTCATTCCCTTGGTGCAGACATTTGGGCACATGGAGGTAAGTGGGAAGAAGGGAAGTTACCTCGCACCCGGGTGTGGAGTTGAGGGGTGCACGGGCAGGGCCAGCCACCTGCAGGGGGCAGCTCAGTGCTGCACAGAGAGGCTCTGTGAACAGCTGAGGAGCTGTTGTCTGATAAATACAGCATCTAGGCCCTCTCAGCGTCAGTTTCCATAGACTTGTTTTTCCTTTGAGTGTCCATCCCACTTTCCAGTTATTTGCATGTCTCAATTTTTGGTTGACAACTGGACATTTCAGATCATATGTTATAGTGAATCTGACTTCTTCCCCCATGGGTGGTTGTAAATTGCCTGGATTTAATCTGTCTCCCCAGCTGTGTGTGGCCACAGATGCCTCTGTTGGGTTTTTATTCTTATTTTTATTTTTTGCTCTTAGGGGGTCACTCTTCTGTCTTGACAGCTGGTGATTCCATGCAGTTTGGGGAGTAGTTGTGCCCAAGCCTGTAAGGCTCCACGTTGTACCCCAGGGGCTGGGGTGCCATACTTAAGAGCTCAGCCAGTGCTCAATCTGCCGTGGCTTCTGCTTTCCACCCAGCCTTCTCGGGCCCGTGTGTGTGTGTGTGTAGCTGCAGAATCTCTGTTTTTTACCCAAAGTTGTGGCAGTCTTTCATGAACAAACATTTCCCAATTTGTTGTTCACCTTTGGTTGGTTTCTGGAGGCCTGAAATTGTTGTTTTTGACAAATGGTTCCACTTTTTACTTGTTTTGTGTGTGTGTGTGTGTGTGTGTGTGTGTGTGTTGGGCAGGGTGGTGGGGAGTGGGTAGTTTGCCAGCCTCTTCACTTGAGCAAAAAGTCCACCCAGATGTAATTCTGCTGTGAAGGGAGACTGTCTTGTCCACTTTCTTACTCAGCCCACTTAGAGGTGGAAAGGAGAAGGGCTGTTGACCAAGCAGCCAAGTTGCTCAGAGCCCTGGCTCTCGTGCCCAGGGCAGCCCCAGTGGCCCCTCTGGGAACTCTAATGGACACGAGGCTGGTAGGGTGCTGGGGCAGGAGCCCAACTGCGGGGAGCTCGGGCACAAGCTTCTCCCCAGGGTTGCCAGCTTTCCTATTGTCTCCCCGCAGTTTGTGCTGAAGCATGAAGCTCTTGCTCACCTCCGGGAAGTGGCACGTTTCCCCAATACCCTGAACCCCCACAAAGAGGAGTCCCTGGCACTGGTCAGAACCATGATCGACCAGGTAATGGAGCTGCACCCTGGCGCCCGGTGGCTCCACGTCGGCTGTGACGAGGTAGGTGCCTCCCCTTGCCAGCAGGCAGCTCCCCCAAGTCTGCGGCAGCCCCTTCTCTTCGTCTCAAGGTCACCTGCTCCCACCTCGTGGGGTCTTCTCTTAAATAGAAAAGTAGTTCCACGAATAAAGAAAGGCTGGCTGAGATGTGCCCCAGTGAGGGCCTTGGCCCCAGCTGGCAAGTCATCTCCTGTGGGCAGACCTGCTGAGCCAAGCAGGGTGCAGTGGGGTTCAGGCACCCACGGGACAGCAGAGCAGCCCCTAGTTACCGCACGTTCATGTCCTTGGGGCCAAGGTGGCCATGAATTTGAGCCGGTTAGTTTTCTCCACCTGAAGCAGTGCAGTTTCAGACAGTGAGAGAAAGGAAATACCACTTTAGCGTCATGGAGTACTGGCTGGAAAGGCAGTTCCCAGGGGTGCCCCCACTTGTCCTCAAGAAACACAGGGTCTTAGGAAGATTACAAGCCACCGAGCAGTGACCCAAAGACCTCTGCTTGTCTGAGCTCAGGCATCTGAGCTGGGACAGTGGTTTGTGGACATTTTATTCCAGAGTTTGATCCTCTTTTTAAAAAAAAAACTTTTTTTTAAATAAAATACACGTAATATAGAATTTACCACTGAAAGCAATTGAAAGTGAACAATCCAGTAACTTTTTAGTCATTCTCAGTGTTGTGCAGCCCTCATCCCTGCCTAGTGCAGGGCCTCTCATCTCCCCACCCCCTCGCCCTCTGCCCCTGCAGCCATATCTCCTTTCCATCTCTGCATTATCCCCCCGCCCCAGCACCCCATAAATGAAATGCTGCTACATGCGTGCATTTACCTTCTCCAGCTTCATTCATCTACATGGCAGCTGAGTGATATTCTAGCATGTGAACAGGCCACACTCTGTTTATCCATCTTGTATTGCTGGACATCTGGTCATTTTTACTTCTGGCTCCTGTGGTGCTCCTGTGCCCAGGCTCAAGGGATTCTTTAGCTGAGTTTGGGTGTCAGTGCAGAAGGCAAGGGCACCCTTCACTGCCCCCTCCCCATGGGCAGCTGCCCAGAGATTCTCCCAGACCACAGCATGAACCCATGGGTGAGAATGTATGGTCCTGGGGCCAACCCACCTGTGTCTCCTAGGTCTACTACCTTGGAGAGGGTGAGACCTCAAGACAGTGGTTGCAGCAGGAGCCCAACAGCAAAGCAGAGCTGTGTCTGTCCCACATGGAGACAGTGGCCAGCCATGTGCGGGCCCGGTACCCCACCACAACACCCCTGATGTGGGACGACATGCTGCGGGACATCCCCGAGGACCAGCTCTCAGGTTGGTGGACCAAGGCCCTGGCGGGCGGGCGGGGGGTGGTGGTGGTGCAGGTCACACTCAGCAGTGGGGCTTCCTGGTGCCACGAGGGGTGGAAGCCAAGTGCTCCGAGCCCCCAGCTGCTCAGGAGAGACCTAGACCCTGTCATAGAGCTGCACTGAAGCTTCTAGTTCCAGGCCACTCCGTTATTAGGACCACTTTCACGTGTTTCTCATATGACAGTGCTATTTCCCTAAAAGGTCTTGCAGGAGGGTGGTTGTGAGAGACCTGACCTGGAGGGTAGCATGAGGCCCTGGGTGGGCATCGACTGTCAGGAGCAGGGGATGGGTTGTGGAGCAGCGGCCCCCAGCAGACCATGAGAGCATCCAGTGCTTCTAGGGCCCTCAGCCCCACACGCCTGCATGGCCAGCCCTGTAGGGGCCTCCACTGAGGTTCACACTGACTGGTCGAGGGACACAGAGGCCCCCACCAAGCCCAGCAAGGCCCAGCCTGAGGCTCTGGGGTGAGACGGGAGATTGCCACGAATGCTTCTGCAAGGTCCAGGTGTCCTGGCTGCAGCCATTACCACATGTGGCCACTTAGGTTTTAATTCACTATAAATAAGTCCGCTTAGCAGTACATTCCTGCTGCACTTGGGCCTGCCCCGTGTGCAGACAGTGCAGCTCCCTCCCTTGAGGGAGCTCCGGGCCGCTGGCCTGGGGCTCGGCCCTAGCAGCTCCAGCAGTGTCCAGTCACTTCCAGAGCTGACTGGCCTGGCGGCTGCAACGTTTATAACCAAACGCTTAGCGCAGTACCGAGTCTGTACTTAAATCCATTTTAATGCAAGAATGGAGGGCTGAAGGGACCCACCCTCATGGCTTCTCTCCACTCCCAGGGTCAAGGGTGCCGCAGTTGGTGGAGCCTGTGCTCTGGGACTATGGGGCTGACCTGGACATCCACGGCAAAGGTCAGTACCAGAACGGAGCCTGCCAGCCATGGGCTCCTCTTGGTTGTCTACCCAGACAAGCGAGTGTCTAAGGCTTCGCAGCTACACCTCCTCAGGGCCTGCCACTCATACTTCTTACTTGCTCACCCAGCGCTCCTTGTGGAGAAGTATCGGAAGAGCGGCTTCTCCTGGCTCTGGGCCGCCAGCGCCTTCAAGGGGGCCACAGGAGTGAACCAGAGCCTCACCCCCATTGAGCACCACCTCAGAAACCACCTGCAGTGGCTGCAGGTGGCGGGCAGCGTGCCAGCGGACACACTGCAGGGCATCATCCTGACTGGCTGGCAGAGGTGAGGCCACATGGGCCCCAGGGATGCCCTCAGTAGGGTCGAAGTGGCTCCCGTCACTCAGGACATATGGCCCTCCTCAGCCCATCCAGTCTGGGCCTCAGTTCTTCTCTCCTTCTGTCAAGGAAAAGCAGCCAGCACTCTGAGGAGGGTGTGGGAGGACCAGACGTACAAAACAAGCCCCTTGAGGTCAAGCCCCTCACACCACACTGCTGAGGGGATGCGGCTCAGGGTGTTAGTGCCCCGAGGCACTGGCCCTCCTGGTGCACGCTCTGCACCATGCGTGTCTCTGTGTGTTCACACCACCCCGGCCACTTTGGGAGAGACATGAAGACAGACCTCAGCTCATTCAGAATTTCACACCATCTGAAAAATAGAGTTACAAGTTAACCCCTGGTCCCAGGCAAGTCCTGGCCTCAGGTCCCGTGCTGAGGGGGAGGCCAGGTGACCCCGACACCAAGAACAGGAGGCCATGACCCCACGGGAGGCAACTGGAGGCGGGGCTGGCTGCTGACCCTCAGCCCACCCTCACAGAGCTGAGTCAGAGATGAACTCCCAAGAATTGCAAGGTGGCAACTGCAAAGCATTAAGCCCAGGCAGGTCCCTCAGGGTGGGATCCGAGTGTGACTGCCAGCTGCACACCCACAAAACCAAGGAAGCTTCAGGAAGCAGCAGAAGTTTCTCCATCCCTGTCCTGTCTCATGGTGGCTCATGCCCGAGCATCCGCTGAGTCCCTCTCCCACGGACTTAGGTATGACCACTTCTCCGTGCTGTGCGAGCTGCTGCCCGTGGGAATCCCATCCCTGGCCGTCTGTCTGCAGGTGCTGCTGCACGGTATGGTCCCCTGCTCCTCCCAGGAAGCCAAGTCCTGGGGCCTCCAACTGCCACCTCCACCTGGCTGGACTGTGGTCTTCCAACCATTGAGGGCGAGGGGAACACACCATGGCCCTGATTCACCTGCCCACCCACCCCAGTACAGCCTGGGTCTTCAAGCCTAAACCCAAGACAGAGGCCAGGAAGGTAGGGGGACGGGCCCCTCAGGCAGAGGGAGCCCACAAGAAAGCTCATCATGGACAGGGTGCAGGAAAGGGCCCGTCCTCACTGGGTAAATATCCTGAGTGCCCGGTCAGTGGGTGTGGCCCCCAGCGAGGGCAGCTCCCTCACTTCTGGTTCTCGTGGGAGCAGCCAGGTGCAGGCAGAGATGCTTAGAGGTGGAAGAAACCAGCAGACATGCTTGATGGCGAAGCCCTGGTTATATAAACTCCCATTCGAGATGAGGTGGGAATTTAGTTGATGATGTATGTGGTGTTGGAGCAGAAAGATGTTAAGGTGGTTGAAGAAAGTGAGGACTGAATAATGAACACACTTAGGATTGTGCTGAGCCACAAGGATGTGGAAGGACAGATACTGGGACTTTTCCCTTTTCTAACCTTCCTGCCAGGCTGCAGTGGCCTTGGGCTCATCCATCCCTGAGGTCAGCATGAGTGTGGCTGGACCTGGCCAGCGGTCCTTCTCGACTGCTTTGCCCACCACCCATGCCCAAAGGCCGGGAGGTCCAGCCAGCACAGGGTCCAGGCCACCTCCTCCAGAGGCCCTTCTGACCTCCATCTATGGTTGGTTTCAGGAGACTTTGCTGAAAATGTCAAAGCAAGAGTGGAGAACTTTCTTGGGGTTTCGAGCCTGGAGGAAATGGATTTTAGGAGGTAACACCCTCACCCCCTGCCCTGCCTCTCCCCTCACATTTGGGCCCTTCCTCAGTACATCGGCTCCCTGTGCAGTGAGGGCGCCGGCTCCTTCCCTGGCAGCAACATCCTGGCCCTCGTCACACAAGTCAGCCTCCATCTGTGCGGCTCCGTGGACGCGCTGCTGGAGAGGGACAGGTGAGCAGGCAGGGCCGTGACCCCCACCACCTCTTGGCAGGGCAAGGGCCACCTAATACTGCAGGGAAGCTTCCTGGATGGAAAACAACTTTTAAAAGTCTCTACCAGATTTTCAAAGGTCTTATTTTACAACCACTGAGGCTGCCTTATGAGCCACAGTGCACCCACCTATGTGTGTTGATTTGCCCCCTGCCCCCCGGCCCCCACTCCACCGCAGGTACGTGACCGGTTGGTTCAGCCCCTACCATCGCAGGAGGAAGCTCATCCACCCCGTCATGATCGAGCACATCCAGCCCCAGGCACTCAGGTTAGCCCACGGCCCGCCCTGCTGTGTCCATCCCCGGGGCTGCCCACCCTCCACTGCGCACTGGTAGCCTTCTGGACAGCTGACTAGGTATCACAGCCACCGACTCCTGGGTGACCTGACTGAATCAGCTGTGCCCTTAGGTGTTAGAGAAGCTGGGGCATTCCTGCCTGAGAGGGTTGAGGGTCACCAGACGCCCTGAGCCAGGTCCAGGGCTCCTGGTAGGACCAGACTGCCTAGGGCTGTGGCCGCATGTGTCACCATGGGGACAGGGTCCCAGCCGGCCCTCCCCACCACTCCCCCAGCTCTGTGAGCAGAGGCCAACACAGACTGTCCGCACTGAGTATACGATGCCTTCAGCTGTCACGGCAGGTTCAGGCACCAAGAAAAACCCTGCCAGCCAGTTGTGAAGTGCCTGCTAGTTTCAGAGGTCAAACTGACAGTCACTCATTGATTCCCAACAACCTTATGAGGCTGGTGCAAAGGGCCCAGTTCCATGGATGAGTAAACTGAAGCCCAGGATGTCCTGACCTGTGGGGTTCTGGAGGCTATGAGGTATGCCCCAGGGCCCTCACTGGGCAGGCTCACTGTCTCACTGGTTCTCAGTCTCCTGGCCAGGTGGAACACCCTTGCAGGGGAGCTGGAGGCTGCCCTGCAGCGTGTCTTCTACCCGGACACGGTGGAGGAGTGGCTGGAGGAGAACGTGCACCCCAGCCTGAGGCGGCTGCAGGCTCTGCTACAGGACCTGGGTGAGGCGGCCGGCCCCAGGCGGGACTCAGGTCAGGACCCCTGAGGGGAGAGGCCAAGAACAGGCTTTCAGCAGCCCAGCACCCTCGTCTAGCTGCACCTGGCCCCATGCACCCCTCCTGAGTCCTGGACAGCCATGCCAGCGGGCAGCAGCCACAGAGTAAATATGGAAGCAAAAGGCCCCCTGGGCCTATGCAGTGATCAGCATTAGAACTTTTTTTGAAATAAAAAGGAGAGTGGAATCCAGAAATCATGCTGCTAGGAATTTGAAAGGCTTCATTACTACTCTGGCCCGGGCTGCTTACAGTGGGGCCCTCACAATGCTCTGGAGACCCTTCTCACCCAACCCAGCTCCCAGGGAGAAGAGTCAGCCAAACACTCTCCCTCTGGTCCTGGAGCCTCCTCCAGCCCTGGGATGAACACACCAGAAACCAGTGTACAGCATATCACACCTTTTAAGAGAAAAGCACTCCAGACTTAACCATTTGGAAACCTAACTTTGGCATGTTTAAGTGACTGTGTCCCCATAGGTCTGGCTGGCAAGCATTACTTAGAAAGGAGAGGACCTCCTTTCTCTGGAGTTCCCTGAAGTTGCTCTCATCCAGGCAGCCTCAGAACCCTGGGTCTATGGGTCTACCAGGCCATTCCCAGTGTAAGCCTTGTGGATTCCCCCAGAGATGCTCTTCGCACATGCTATACCTTGGAGGAACCTGGGTTCAGAGAAAGCAGAAGAAAACCAACAGCGCAGGTGAGGGTCAGTGTGACTGGCACCCAGATTCCATGGGGGTGGCTGCAGCCAGCTGCCCAGGCCCTGCTGAGGGGCAGTCATGAGCCTGGCCCATTCTGGCCACATACAAACAGGCCCAACCACCAGGGTTTGAGAGAAGCTGGGAATATGGGTTCCAAAGGATGGGTGCAAGTTTTTAAATGACTCGATGGACATGAATTTGAGTAAACTCCGGGAGTTGGTGATGGACAGGGAGGCCTGGCGTGCTGCGATTCATGGGGCCGCAGAGAGTCGGACACGACTGAGCAACTGAACAGAAGAGAAAACCTCTGCCTACAATGGGGGCAGGGGCAGGAGGTTATCCTCCCTGTGAGAGCCCAGCTGCAATCCTGATTGTGATCTGGGTGAGGCAGCAGTGAGCGGTGGTATGAAGTGAGATCTTAATTCCCTTAACACCCAGGAATTGAACCTGGGTATCCTGGATGAGAACCAGCAGTCCTGGCCACCAGACCAGCAAGGGCTAAAAGGCTAGAAGCTGGTTTTCCCTTGATCTTTGCCCCTGGTGAAAAATGCATTTATCAAGGAGGCAAAAACTGTTAATGCAGGTACATTTATTGAGACGTAACAACAAGCGGAAGAGCACACAGAACTGGTTTGTTAGGGGAGAAGCAAGGCAGAGGTGCACACCCAGAGAGAAAGGGTGCAGGCGTCCCCCTCAGGAGGAGGAGCGCTGTAAAGAGGCGGTTAAGTCACATATATAGGTCAGTTCTTCGGGTCTTTATCTTCAGCCAGTTATCTGGTTTCTTTTCCACACCTGACCCACCCTGAGACACTCCCCTGGGTGTGCCTGCACCTCTCAGCCAAGACGGATCTCCAACTGAAGGCTTCTGGGAGGAACAAGACTCATTATGGCCTGGCATTATCCCCTGACTTTTGACCCCCAAGGAACCTCTCTGCATATGTGCAGTGTCTCCCTTGTCCCCAAAAGAAGGAGTGGACATCCCTTAATCCTTTACTCAACACAGGGTTTTGCCTCTCTTTGTCCTTGCATGACTATTACCTTAAGGTGCTTAAAAGAGACAAACACCGGCTATTTACCCTGTTTCTGTTGTTATTTCCATTGTGGAGAGCAAACAGGAGGCTAGTTGTACCTATACATCCTGAAGCCCATTTCTTTCTGCCCCACGAAATGGCTCTGCACCTGGGAAAGTTAAATGCCTTACTTGGAGCCCACCTATCTCTTGTCTCAGGAAATACAAGTTCCTAGTTGTAGGTATACATCCTTAGGCCCATCTTCCTGCCCCATGAAATGCAAACAGGAGGCCAGTTGTGAATGTCTAACCTGGAGCCCACCATCTGATTCCTGCCTCAGTTGGACTCGAGATGAGCCATCTGAGGTTGTAGAGGCCTCACTATGGCAACAGCACACCAATCAAATGGGCCCCTTGGCATCCACCCTGAGCACCAGGACCTCACGGGTGAGCACCTCACTTCCAACCACTGACGATGTCTGGCTGGTTGGAGGGATGAACATGGGGAGCAGGGCAGGAACTGGGATCCACAGGAACAACAACAGAGAGCATCCTCAGAGGCTGACCCAGTCAGGCGCCACACCCGCCTGCCGAAACCTTGCTGCAACCTGCAGGACAGTGTCCTGGCCAAGACCCTGATCCAGAGAGCTCAGTCCGACACCTCGTGCCCTGGGATCCTGGGTGTCCATCCCATTTCAGAGGCCTTGAGCCCCACATGGCTAGCAGGTCTGGCCTGTCCACACCAGGCTACTGCCCCAGCAGGCTGTCTGATTCCAGGAAGAGGCAGATCAGCCTGCAGAGAAGGTCCCACTGTGGTTTCGCTTGGAGGACAGAAGCAAGCAGCAGGAATGGCTGAGGGTCCTGCCCTGGGGCTGCCAGGGACACAGCCAAGAGCCGAGGAGGAGGACTCGCAGGCGGCCCATCAGAACCCTGCTGAGGGGCACCATGGAGGTCAGCTCTGGTCTCCCGGGCCGTCGGCCTCACTGTCACTGCTCTGAGACAGCTCCACAGGACTCTCCAGGCGGTGCAGCTCCAGGAAAGTAGTGATAAGCTTGGCAATGGCTTCCACATCGCTGGTCCAGGCCGGCACCAGGAGGGAGGACGGGTCACCGTGGCAGAGGTCCTGGCCTCCCAGCAGGAGCCAGAAGACCACGCCAGTCTCCTCACAGGCATCACCCTCTAGGGATCCCCGCCAGAACCACACACCTTACGTCCCGGTCCCCACCCTCACCTGACCTTAACCCAGGCCTCTATGCCACTGGGCACCCCTGATGTGCCCCTCCCCTCTCTATCCCTGCAGGGACCCCTGATACTCCCTAGCAGGTGGTACCATGCCTGTCTCCCCAAGCCCCACCTCCTCCATGTTCCCGAATCCTCTCTCTCTGTGCTGCCAGTCCCTTGCCTGGGGGCAAGGGCATAGTGGGCAGCCCTGGCCCATCGCCTCCTGTCTTTGGCTTACCTGCGGTGGCCCATAACAGCACTCTGGGTGAGGGGGTGGGAGAAGCCTGTGGCAAACCGAAGCACCACCACGTAGCCCTTCCCGAAGTACCGGACCTTCTCCTCCTCCACATTCACGTCCCGGATGTCACTGAGCAGGACCACCACTGTGGGGGGGGCCAGGTCAGTGGCCATGTCCCCCGCCCACCCTGCCCCTCTCTCCTGGATGCTGGCAGTGGCTTTGGGGACACAGTGCAGAGGATTAGAGCCTGCTTGTCATGAAGGAGCGCGTGTCACTCCAGGTTGGAGGCCCAGAGGATGCCGGGACCCAGCCTTAGATGTCACAGGAAGTGACCACAGCACAGGGCCATTTGACTGCCAGTTAACATCCAGTCTGAGTGAGAGGGAACATCCAGCAAGCCTATTGCCTTGAAAAGCCCACCTGTTCTCTCAGTCTAACATGTCAGGGGGTGGCTAAGCATGGTACTGCCCAGCTTTCTGCCTCATTTTCCTTAACTGCTGGAAAATGCCTTCCTGGTCTCTAGTGGCCAGTCACTGAGCTGGGGGCTGCCCAGCAATTTTCTTTGGTCCAGGGCACATCTGGGTACACACAGCATCCACGAGGCAGGACACAGCTCCAGTCACCGAGCAGCCAGCTTCCCCTTCCCAGGTCACACAGACTCTCACTGCCTTCCGTCCACTCCAGAGTAACCCATGTCCTGTTCACTCCCCACGCCTTACCTTGGTCATGGCCTGCTCTGCAAAGAGTCAGCAGCTTCCTATACAAGCTGAACGTCTTCAGCACTACCTTCCCGGTGCTCTTGTTGAAGACCGCTTCCTAGAACACCAGCCACAAGGTGGTCATCTGGCTGCTGGCCTGTGCGCCAGTCCAATACATGCAAACTCACCAACTCTGTGCCCACCCTCCCCAAAGCAGACACTCAAGGAGGCAGCCCCCTTCCTTCCCATCCCAGTCAGACCCCAGACCCCTGCAGCTGGACCCCTCCAGGGTCTCGGGTGTAAAGAGAAGCAGGTACTTCTCCTCTCCACAATTGAGAGAGGTGAGTACCGAGGATAAGGTTATCAAATGAGGGAACAGGTCAGAGAGCAATACTGGGGCCAAGCAACCCAAAGGACACATGAGGAAGGACATAAGGGAGGCGAAGGAGGTGGCCTCGCCCTTCTAGAACATCTAGGAGAGCAGCTTCAGAGGATTCTGTGGCCCACAAATAGGCAATGTTCGGGGCCAAGTCTAGCTGGCCAGAAACCACTGGGCTCACATTTCAGGATTGGGGTGGAGGGCATTAGGCCCCTGGAGTCTTTCTTCCTTTGACATGCACTGCAAGGAAACCCAGGAGCCCCAAAGCCTGGGCAGTCTTCCTGCATCAGTCTCACCTCCCAGTCCTCCAGGTTCTGCACGGCCACAAACAGACAGCCTGTGACGTAGAAGAGCTTCCAGCCCAGGCTATCTGAGGAGCAAACAGGAGACCGCGATGGGTAGGCAGCAGAGGGGCAAAAGTCAAAGTGCCTGCAGGGGGTGCCTCCTCCCAGAATAGGTGCTTCCCAGACACTGGGCACGAGTGGCCCCTGGGGGCCCAGCTGACTGCCCATCCCTCCAAGGACACCCCACCCCTGTCAAGGCCGCCGCTGTGGGCCCTGTCACTCAGGACAGGGCATGGTCCGCCAGCTCTGCCCTCAGCTCTCCACCGAGGTGACTCTCGAGGTGACGCTCATGGCACCGTGTGTGAGAGCAGGGAGGGGGGACTACTTCCAGGGAGCTGCTGAGGGCACAGGCTATACCTGCCCCAAGACCTGAGGCAGACATCGGAGTGCCTTTCTGAATACTTTATGACATGAAAATGCTGATGTAAATGAATGCAAGCTGTGGGGGAAACACCAGCACACGAAGGTGAGACCGTGCCTGCAACCCATTTAGAGGTAGAAAGTGAATGTGTTAGTCACTCAGTCATGTCCAGCTCCTTATGACTCCATGGACTATAGCCTGCCAGGTTCCTCTGTCCATGGGGTTTCCTAGGCAAGAGCGGGTAGCCATTCCCTTCTCCAGGGGATCTTCCCAACCCAGGGATAGAAACCAGGTCTCCCACGCTGCAGGCGGATTCTTTACCTTCTGAGCCACCAGGGAAGCCCCATTTAGAGGCAGGGGCAATCCCCAAAACCATGCCTGTCAGATTACAAATGACAGGGTTTCCTTTTTTTCTCTATTTTCCAATCAGCTAAGGAAGCTTCTAGGGACAGGGCAGAGCAGATGATGTTCCTCACCTCCACTGTAGTAGGCAGCAGCCAGGCCGATCGACAAGATTCCTGTGGGGAGAAAACAGGTACCTTCCCATTGGGTCACCACTAGACCAGAGACCACCTCCTCCCAGGACCCGCAGACCCAGGTAAGCAGCCCCTTCCCGTTGCCAGGGATGGCTAAGAGCAGGGAGTAAGAGGGCAAGAAAACCGCCAGGCTCAGAAGTTGTGGAAACAACCAGGAAGTCTGTTTACAGGAATGTTCTACATCAGTCACAGTATTCACTGGTCACATGTCTATGTTGAGATTCCAGAGCTGACAGGGGAACCAGAAAGAGGAACCTGATGTGGGTTTCATCCACTGACAGCACATTGTGTGGAATGAAGACAAGATTGCAGATAAAGAATCACGACCCCGCACGAGACAAAACAGGAGAAGTCCCGGGAAAGAAGGCAAAGAGCCAGGCTGCCAAAGGTGCAGCAGCACCTCCCCTCACACCTCAGTTCCAATCAACACGTGTAGCTGCCCAGGGAGTGCAGGGCAATGGGGATTGACAGGGATAGAGAACAAGGGGCCTCCCAACCCTTACTCCTCACTGTCTCCATCACACAGGCCCTGACTTAAATCATATACGGGAGACTGGGTGTATGAAAGCAAGCAAAAAACGAAATACAGGGACCTCACAGGAGCATGGAGACTATTAACCAAAGGATGTTAAATGGTGAAAAAACACAAGACTGACCATCTGTAAAAGCACTTGAAAAGGATAAAAGCTGGAAAGAGATAATAGTTGCTATTTCTTGGGGTAGCAGAACCAAGGAAAATTTTAATCTTCATCCTTTTTTAAAGTTGGATCTTTAACTTGAGAAATATGAACATCCTTACCAACCAGCAGGGACCAGGATCTGATGCCTGGAGCCCTCTTCAGATGGAGGCGGGAGCTGGTGCGCGACTCTACCTGCATATACATCCCTGGAACGTGCTGCCACCACCGTCAACAGGAGACCATGACACCTGGGGAAGGACACAGAGACAGCTGCAGCCCTCGGGCCACTGCTAACAGACAAGAACCCAGTTCCTCTCCAGGACAGGATGCCCAGCTGCCCACTAACAAGGCCCACACAGGTTCAGGAACCAGTCAGCCTGTGCTGACTGCAGTCTCCGTGGTCAGGCAAGTCAACCCCCCAGGGACCCATGTCCTCTGTAAGGAAGATTCTTTGCGCAGATGTAATGGTTGCACTGGGGCTATATCCCCTGCTCTGGCTCACAAAGCATCAACACTTGATCATCACCTGTCCACTTCCTAACTGGAAACCTCAGTCTCTTGGAAACCGTTAGCCCCCAGCAGCCTTCAAAGTTCTGGCACCCTATCACAACGTACCAGAACACCCTCATTTCCCTGTACAGGCCTATGAAAAAGAGAAGTGAATGTCTCATCATGGTTTGATGAGAGGCACTGACCGAAAAAGTATGCTCCTGCAGCTTCGGAGACAACAGTCCTCACCCAGCAGGGTTTGGACGGTCTGGACCACCAGCTTAATGAACAAGTGAGCAAAGGGGATTGATCTTCCACACGTGGAGAATTCTGCCCTGCACGATGCAATACGTTCAAAATGCTGGCTCCAGGGTCCCCGTTCTGGGTCGCTTTTCAGGTATTCTCTGTAAAGTTAAGTCAAATTTCTGACAACAAAGAGTGGATTCAGTTCACACAAACGAAGCCAAGATCCGGCGATATCCCAGGCTCCCTCCCCTAGACTGGCTTCGCCTGTCTCCACGCGCGACTCAGCCGCCCGCGGGGCGAGATCACTCCTGTCACCTGCACGGGCCACTGAGGACACTCTTCACTGACCCTTGCAGCCACACTGTGCACCCTCCTCGCCTCGAGCATTACAAAGCCCCTGGGGCATCGACCCGGGCCGAGTCCCAAGACCGCGCTCCCAGAAGGACCCCGGCTGCGGGAGCCGCCCCCCAGCACGCCCCGCGCCCCCAACTCGCAACCGTGGCACGGCCCGGATGCTCAACGCGGACACAAACCTGCAGTCGCGGAGGCGGGACGGGCGGGACCTCCGGACTTCAAAACCCGCCGGCCTCCAACTTCCGCAGCTGGGGGAGGGACCAGCTGACTTCCGGACCCGCGGGGGCGGATGGGACAGTAGGCTTCCGGACTCGGGGGCGGGGCGCGGCGGGGCGCGCGGCTCCTGACTTCCGGGGCCTCGATTCAGCCCGCGAGAGGAGAGGACTGGCGGGGCTCTAGAATAAGGTTGGCTGCAAATCAGTAGAGATTGCGGAGGCTGCCATGGGTTTTGCGGGCCCCGGCGCTCAACACAGAGCGCCTGGGGTTACAAGCTTTAGAAGATCCGCAGAGGTAGGTGAAGTTGTAAGCACGAGACAGCCATTTAAGATGGTAAGAAAACGTGAAGTATGTATTTAAACTCACAACGGACACGTACAAACATTATGGTAGATTCTGTAAAAACTTTAATGGGAAGCATTAAAGTAGAACTAAAATAGTTGTTCATGGTTTGGAAAATTATTGTAAAAATGTGAATTCTCCCAACGTGCTCTGCAGATTCAATTGCGAACCCAGTAAGAGTGTCAAGAGATTGAAAAATCTGCACAGCGCTGCAAGGCACTGTGGAGGAGGGTAGGGGAGATCTAGAGATCCTCGACGCCCAAAAAACTCGGTGTAGCTGGGAAATTCACATTTTCATGAGGGCAGTTTTTCTGCTCCTCCTAAACTTGCCCCAGTGTTGGGGAAAGAGGATTGTAGTAAGAGACAGTTTTTCCAGGAAGACCTTGAAATGGCCGCTTAGGTGGCCTCCCTGCTCCACTCTCCACCAAAACGCTCATTATGTACCACCACGGCCCCTAGATGAGGCCCCAAGCAGGACTCTGATTTGCCTATTTCCCAACAGAGAAGGACCCTACCTGAAACAGGAGAGCCTCCACCACACAGCCACTGCCTCCAAACTGGGATGGTCAAGATGATCTATGGAGTGCTGGAAGAACATAATAGAGCTTGTATTCCTACTTTTTATGTCTATTCTCATGTGTCCTATAATTTACATAAAATATATACACAGTGTATAAAGAAATATACACATAGGTATGCATAACCCTAGATGTTTTACCAATATAGGCACGATGTCAAAAATTTGGAGATGACTTTTCTATTTCACCAGTCTCTATGTACTCTCCGCCTGTGGTTCAGAATCACCTGGTGGGGCTCTTGAAACACAGACCATTGGACCTGTTCCAGCAATGTATGGGGCTTGAAATGTGCGCATGCTGGTGCCTGCTGCTCTGGGAACCACACCGAGAGAACTTATGCTCTCAGCTGTAACAAAAGTAGGTTCGCCTGAATGTGGCAGGTTCCCTGACCTGATGCCTCATCTCACATTCTGTTTCCTTGAAATGCCATCTGTGGTAAGATCACATGCCATCTTTTTTTTTTTTTAAATATTTGTTTATCTGGCTGTGCTGGGCCTTAGTTGAGGCATGCAGGCATGTGGGATCTTAGTTCCCCAACCAGGGATCGAACCTGTCTCCCCTGCACTAGAAGGTAGATTGTTAACCACTGGACCACTAGGGAAGTCCCATCACATGTCATCTTGAAGGTCCATTTGAATTGCTTAGCACCTCCTTTAAGTCCTCTCTGCTTGTGATCTTAATTCCTTAGAATTTAGGGAGAACTGAATTGATACCCAGAAAATTCCACTTTGCATTACAGTCCTTGACATAACTTTTTGTACCCGAGCACAAGCCATTTAAAAATGAAGCCTACACTGGCTTTCTGTTAATGTTAAATGAGAGAACAAATGGTGTCTGATTTGATTAAAATCCTGCTGTATATAGGTAAGAGCAAAAGACTGGAAATAAATACAAAATCCATAAATAGGAGACTGAGTGAATAAAATCTGTACATTTTACCAGTTATCAATACGTTACATCTTTGTTTTAAATTCAAACTGCATTGCCTGTTCTATGAAAATGCATCTGAGCCTTTTTTTTTTTTTTTCCCCTGTGCTCTCTGGCATGATGTTACGGTTTGTCAATGGAAGGTGCGAGAGATGCTTCAAGAGGAAGAGTTTCTCTTCTCGGTCTGGTTCTGTTGTCCTGGATCCACAGTGCACAGGACTTCTCCAGTGTTCAGCTCTTATAGTACACACTAGCCAGCTGCACCCAGTATCCCCCACCTTTCCCAGCAACCCATTAAGTGGTTTTGTAGCAGAGTGCCTCCAGTGATAGAGATGTCAGGTCTAAAGTAGGAAATGTACAAGGAAATGTATCAAAAAGGAAAGAGACTATTAGTGTTGTCAGAAGAATTCAACAGAATAACCAAATAGTGAGTAAGATAAATTTCTCATTATGGAAGCAGTCCTGCTAATAAATGAAGAAATGGTAGGATTAAAACATCAACCTAATGAAACTAGGCCATCTCATTAATGGTTGCAAATTAACATCACAAAAGGACAGGCACTAGAACTGCCTGAGGGATTTCACAACACCACCTAGGAAGTAGTCTTTCCCTGGGATTTCCCTGGCAGTCCAATGGTTGAGACTCTCTGCTCCCAATAAAGGGGATACGAGTTTGATCCTGATCCAGGAACTAAGATCCTGCTACGCTTTACTGAAAATTCAGAACAAGATGGATGCAGTCAGCAATTGCTGAAAACCCTGCAGTCAAACAATCTGAGAAGTGAAATTGCTCAATCGTGTAGCCTTTGTGTGACCCCATGGACTGTAGCCTACCAGGCTCCTCCGTCCATGGAGCAACCTGATTTTTTAACAATGATACGCAAGGAGAGATGGGGTATGTGAATGGAACCTGCAGATTTAACAAACAAACCCCCAAAACTTTAGAACTGGGAACTCCCCCCAGGTTGGGTGCATGAGACAAGTGCTCGGGCCTGGTGCACTGGGAAGACCCAGAGGGATTGGGTGGAGAGGGAGGTGGGAGGGGGGACTGGGATGGGGAATACATGTAAAAAAAAAAAAAAAGATACACTATGGTTGTGATAAAAAATAAATTAAAAAAAAAAAAAAGAACTGGGAACTCCCTATACAATATTTAACTGAGACTAATTTTATTTTTAGAAACAAAATTTTTGTAAGAGAAAGAAACACACAAACCAATTAAAATACAGACTAATAAAACAACGAACCTTATTTACATACAGATTGAAACTAAAATGAAGAGACGTTTGGGGAAACCTGGACACTAACTACACACAGCCCACCAGTTTTCTCTTTTCATGGAACAGATAGCTCAGTTGGTAAAGAATCTGTCTGCAATGTAGGAGACCCCGGTTCAATTCCTGGGTCAGGAAGATCTGCTGGAGAAGGGAAAGGCTACCCACTCCCAGTATTCTGGCCTGGAGACTTCCATGGATTGTGTATAATCCATGGTGTCACAAAGAGTTGGACAGGACCGAGCGACTTTCACTTTCTCCCCCTTCTCCAGGGGATCCTGCCAACCCAGTGATAGAACCCAGGGGTCTCCTGCATTGCAGGTGGATTCTTTACCATCTGAGCCACCTGGGATTGATGAAATTAAATAATTGTAACTTGCCTTTTCCACACATGATGGTATTGCATTATACTTTTAGAACATTTACAAAATATAAGTGACAACCTAAATTCTTGTAAGTTGCTAATTGAAAATGTTTTCTTTTTTAAGTAATTAGTTAATTTGGCTGCCTTGGGTATTAGTTGTGGCATCCAGGATCTTTCCTTGAGTCACACAGACTTCCCAGTTGCGGTGCATGGGCTTCAGTAGTTGGGGCACTTGAGCTTAGTTCCCTGACCAAGGATGGAGCCAGCACCCACTGCACTACAAGACAGATTCTTAACCACCCGAACCACCATGGAAGTCCCTTGAAAATGTTTTCCAAGAGGAGGTGCTGACACAGATTTGAATAATTTAGTAATCTGGCAGCCAGATAGGACCTCCTGAATTTTAACTGACAGCAAGTTGTAAAAGAGCGGTATGCACCAAAAACTATAATTTAAAAAAAAAAAAAGTTTTAAAGGGGAATATTTTAAGGTTTGGGGACTTGGAATACCTTCGAATGTTTTGCTTACCTGTGACCCCCCCCACCCCCAGGTGAGGAGAAAGAAAATGCCCATTTCTGAGATTCCCGTGAACTGCTTGGTTTTTGATGGACACACCCTAGTGCTTTATTTTCCAGGCGCAGTTCTCATTTCCGATGGTGCCGGGATGACCATGAACTAACTACATAAAATGTTGCCAGGGGACAAAGGTCAACGTCATCATTTGGTCCCGTATCCGCCTTGATTTGCTAGCGGCAGCGGAGGGACGGAAGTTCGGCGACCTACGCTTCACACGTTCCTCGCGCTCCCGACGGCGCCACCCGCTCCCGATGGCGCCACGTGCTCCCGACCCGCCGCGCGTGCGCACTGCCTCCGCGCCGGACATACGTGACGCGCCTCGGGGCGGAAATGGCGGCGGACCAGGGCGGCGCCGTCTCTACCAATCTAAACCTGGAAGGTGGCGCGGGTCTGGCGCTGAGCTGACGCACCAGAACGTCCTGGTAACGATCTCGGCCCGCCCCCTGGGGTCCGTCAGCTAGGCCACTCAGAGCCGCAGCCAGATTCACACGCCGCGGAAACCCAAGGGAGAATCGGCCACGGCCTCCGCAAGGTCCCGACGGGGCGGGCCAAGCTCCGCCCCTGCGCGCTCCGACTGGCTCTAGGTCCCGATTTGCCCCTTTCCCTCGTTCTCATTGGCCTAGGCATAGCCCAGTAGCATGGAGCCGCACCGCTCTCTCCGCGCTCCTATTTGTTCAGGGTTGTAGCGCATCCGCTCCCAGAGCTTTCATTGGTCGAGCCGAGCCACTAGGGGTAGGGCAGCACTGGAGCGACGACAACAAAGGGCGGCAGGCGGCGGTGACCGCGTCTCCCGGTGCTCTCCTCAGGCTGCGCACCCAGACCTGCCCGCCTGGCTCCAGATGAAGTGTGAGCACTGCACGCGGAAGGTGGGCTCCGCGCTTTTGGTCCGGGGCCGGGTTGGGGGCAGGGCCCGGGGCGCGGAGGAGCCTGAGCTCGTGGAGCCCGGAGCCTCGGGGGTGCCGGGAGCTTCGCAGCTCCGAGCGCCTCTGCCTCCCTGTCAGAGCCTCTGGGCGCTGGCCCGCAGCTCGAGTTTTCCGGGGTTGGAGGCGGCTGAGGGTGGGCCACCAACGCGTCCGGTTCCTGTTCCCCTGTACCGGAGGCGACCGTGATGTCGGGGCGCAGATATACCCTTTCAAAGTACTTTAGAAGTCAAAAGCTGCCAAAAAAGCCTAGCAACATCAGCTACCAGTCCGCAGTCGTTGCAAACACCGTCATTGGTGTGAATGAGGGACACGGTGATCAAAAGTGATTTTAAGGGATTTTATGCCACCAAAATACTTTCGTGTTTGACAGTAACGAAAACGATACAGAAGTGCAAAAAGGAGACGGGGGCTGGACCTCCTGCCACCTGAGTAACCATAGTAACTGTGAAAGCCTTATCCACTTGTTTCTACTCTGTAATGCACAGGGACTTTTCGGTTTATCTCAAAATTCGATCCTATCATAAATATTGTTCGATCACTTGCTCTTTCTTTCAGTTAATATTATACAAGAGATACATTTTCTGAGCAGTACACACAGTTCTAATTTGTTGTATTTTAAATATAGAAGCGTCCAGGTGGTCGGGCACCAATTTACCTGTCATGAGAGACCACACTGCTTCTAGTTTTCATTTCCTGCAAACAGTGCAGATACAGAGATGTGTATGGGTGTGTTTGTGTGTCCACAATTATAAGTGCTTCTATTTCTGTAGAAAAGGTTTCTAGATATGAAATGAATTTGTCAGCTAGTATATACAATTTTTAAAATTAGATTAAAAGTTGTTCTTTTATATGTGCCTTTGCCTTTTCAAGGAATGTAGTAAAAAAACAAAAACCGATGACCAAGAGAATGCATCAGTCGATGTACCAAGTCCAGCCCAGGAGAATGGAGAGGCAAGTAGTATTTCAGTTCTTGTGTCAACCTGGAGTAAACAGCTACTGCTATTTTTCTCCTCTTTGGGGGCTCATGTCACCAGGTACATCATTGCTTCCAAGAAAAAAAATAATCAAAAAAAAAAAGAAGGGGCTAAAAAACCCATGCCAGAAGCCAAACATGCAGGTCAGTTGGAGGCACACGATCTTCAAGGTAAGAACGTGTCTTCTCAGGATACACCAAGCCAAAGCATACCAAGTTAGGAACAAGGCAAAATGTCATCCTTGGCTGTTTATTTAGAAATAGTTTTGTAACATTTAAACCGCTGGTTTTTTGGTTTTTGGGTTTTTTTTTTTAGTGAAAAGACGGCTTTAGGTAGGAATTTATAAAACAATTTGGATTTCATGATTCTGTAAGTTTTATTTTTCTAATGGTTTCTTCTCTCAGTTCTTGAGTTTTTAAGTTTTTCTTAGCTAGTAGTGACGGTTTACATTTATTGGATACATACCCTGAGCTAGGCAGTCGAGAAAGTGCTTTATACATGTGACCTCATGCCGTGCCTAGAATGAGCATTTCAGGTAAGCCCTACAGTTGTCTTCGTTTTATAGAGGAGGATGCAGTGCTGGGAGGTTAAGGTTCCTTCCCTTAAAAAGTTCTGGTCCCGGTTTTAGAAAAGGAGAATTGGCAACATTGGAGAAGCAAGCAGCAGGTGTCTTCTTGAGTCTAGTAGTCCTGATACAACATTGAGTCAGACAGGCGTTGGTCTGGTCCTCTCGTGTGCCAGCTCTGCTCTGTGCTCTGGTGACTGTAGGGCTTGGTGAGCAGCAGGGGATAAGACAAGCGCCCCAGACACTGAGGCAGAAGAGAGGCAGGGAGCACCGAGGACTCTGCAGCCCCAGAGCAGCCGGCCCAGGGCCTCCCACGCCTGCCCTCTGTCCGCACTGCCTTGGACAGACATCTCACCCTGGGAGCCCCAATTTCCTTATCAGTGACATGGGGAGTTGGGTTACTTCCCTCCAAGAGCCATGGTGGCTGGGAGATAATGTGTGTTCATAGCTTAAGTGGGCACCCCTCCAGCACAGTGGACGGACGCCCTGATGGGATGAACAGATCAGGAAGGTGGCTACTGGAGTGGGTCCTGAGAGTGGTGGGTGCAGGAATGGGGTGAAGGCTCACCAGGCACAGGGAAGGTGTGAAATGTAAGGAGACAAATCAGACTCAAGTCTTAGGGCTGGTGGCTTAAGCTGGCTAGGGTAGGGGAAGAATAGGAAGGAAGCTCCTTGGGGAGGCTGAGGGTGGTAGGCCTGGATGGACCAGCCAGAGTGGCGGAAGCAAGAAAAGAGGTGCAGAACAGGGAGAAGAGTGCAGTTTGAGCTGCGTGGACACGAGCTTTGCAGGATATCAGACTGGATATTGGGAGGGAGAGAATTCCCTAGAGGCAGAGATTGGAGGGGTTGAGTGGGGGCCTGATAACTGCTCTGAGAAGTGTGGCTAATTGGAGAGAAGGAGAGATGGACAGGCTTCCGTAGAAAATGCCCATGATTAGGATGGAACAAGAAAAAGAGGAAGGACTGTGACAGGCGGGAAGGAACCAGACCTGGCCCATGAGGTGCTCTAGGAGGATGAGCATGACATGTGGCTAGCAGGCTGAAAGAAAGCTCTGCTTCCCCTTGCAGGTCAGAGTGTTGTCCTGGGCACCTCTGCAGGGGCAGCGGAGGCAGAACTCTCAGTGCAGCTCAGCAGCATCTATTAGACGCCAGCTGTGTGCCAGGCCACGTGCTTCAGACCCTTGGAGCAGCTGCTCTGGCCCCCCCTCAGGGTTTGTTAGAAGGGCAGACTCTTGCCTCCCATCCATACCTCATGAATTAGCACCTGCAGCATAACAAGTTCCCAGAATGAGCACTGCACAGTGACACAGGCACCTGGGGAGGAGGGAGGTGACAGCGTGCATTCCTGTTGGGCGCTGCTGTGGACAGGAGGGCCACCCTACCCCCCGAGTCCTTGCTTACCAAATCATGTTTGAAAGAGCAGTGTACAACCAACTGTCAGGAGATTCCATTAATTTGTTGCAAGGGCTCTAATAGGCTTCAGAATATTTGTATGTTCATCCACCACATATTTATTGACACCTTCTGTATACAGGGGATGTCAGAGAACAGAAGGGCATGAGACAAGGTTCTTTCCTCAGAGCTTGCATTTCAGGGAAAAGAGCCACCACATAGGTGCCAGGGGTTGCTCAGAGCTGTTCTGGCAGGTGTCCATGAGGGTCTGAGGAGTGAACCAGACTCTAGGGAGTGTTTCCCTCAGGGAGACTCAGAGCAAGGAGGGCCAGGGTGACTGGAAGTTAGAGTGGGGAGAGTGATGGGGAAGGGGATCTCTAGCAGCAGAGGTGTGGCTTGTCTTCTGGTGGACCTCAGCCTGGGGAGTGGGCTGCAGGGAGTGAGTGGGCGCAGGTGCAGCCAGGAGAAGATGACACAGCCGAGGGTTGTCATCTTGGTATCCAGGGGAACAGAGTCACTGAGATGTGAGTTTGAATGTCCCAACTCAGACTTGGATGGTGTGACAACCCTGATGCCCACAGGTCAGCAGTGAGCTATTCTGGTTCTAAGCCTGTCAGGAAGGCTTCTGAGGAGAGTCCAAGGACTGGGCGAGCTCATCGGGGAGAACAGAGCAGACCCACGCAGGAGCCTCCAGAGGGAGCAGGGAAAGATACGGGGGCAGGAGAAGCTGCATTTGATGGTGCCGGTACACTCCCCACACATTGCCATCTATGGGACCCTCAGAGAATTTGTGCAGTTTTCTGCATTATGCTTGTGCTGATACTTTTCTTATGGCTTGAAGAATCAAGCCATAAGATCATCTTTTTTTTCACAGAAGGGAGAATTCCATAAATTGGCTGATGCCAAGATATTTCTGAGTGACTGCCTGGCCTGTGACAGCTGTGTGTCTGCGGAGGAAGGAATCCAGGTTTCCCAGCAGAACGCCAAGGACTTCTTCCAAGTTCTGAACCTTAACAAGGTAGGGCCTCCCGGGCACTCACTGGCACCAGAGGTGGGTGGAGGTCAAAGTGAGGCTTGAGGCCTCTACTGGGACTTGGGGAGCGCATCCTGGCCCTGGCTTGTGTCCCCTGTGATAGCTGACCCTCTCCGCAGCCTCTCCCTGCCAATAAAACCCCACCCACAGTCACACTCCCTCACTGATGTGGGCAGCAGCTGTGGCTGGCACCACCAGCCAGGCTCCCCTAGCTTGGGGGAGGCCTCCGCATGCTTGGTCATGGGATGGCGTGGTGGCCGAGCTGCTGCTCCTCTGCCTCTGGGGCTTTCTCAGAGGTTAGGGCCACAGTCCATTAGCTCATTCCTGCAGACCCCTGTGCAGATGGAACTCCCCGAAGTCACTCAGGAAGACGGGTGAGAGGGAAAGACGGAGAAGCGGGGGCAGACGAGGCTGAAAAGCATGTCTTGGTTTGCCCTCAGTCTGACCTGGGGAGCAGCCCTCACAGCTGCTTTCCAGGAAGTACTTGTACGGGCTCTGAACACGGTGCTGGGTGCTCCGGCCCCCGGGGCAGTGCAGCTGCCACATGAGTCCCGGGTTGCTTTCTGGGTGTACTGACTGCAAATTACAAATTTCATTCTTTCCAACCTGTATACATTTTATTTTTTCTGATGGTATGGTCTGGGACCTTTAAATCAACCTGAAATTACATTGGTGGTAGAAATAATACTAACATCTTGTTTCTGATTTCACTGGGAATGCTGGTGAAGTTTTATTATTAAGTAGATTTTTACAGTCTTTTACTATTAAAGAGACGTAGATACTCACACCAGTCAGCATATCAGCTATAGAAAATGGGTACCCAAGTTAAACTAGCCTAAAAAGGAAATGCTTAGTTATTTTATGAAACTGAAAGCTTAGGAATGGAAGAGGTTCTGGGTTTGGCTGAGTCAGTCACTCAGGACTGCCACAGGAAAAAGCAGTTCCTATTTCTCTGCTGGTCCTGGGGTTCTGGGGTTCCTGAGCTCTGGGGCTCAGGCTGATTCCCGCTTGGTCACAGATCAGCTCCCTTAGAGGAGGTGAAATTTAAGTGAGAATGAAGTGAGGGGTGAGCCCTTGAAATTCTCTGGACAGGGTGTCAGACAGAAGTACTTGAATTGCCAAGTCTGACTGCTGAAGCTGGGGACAGACCACCCTCTTCATTAGCATTTGAAACTTGTACTCTCTTGTTCCTGCTTCCAAATTTACATTAGGATGCTCTTGGTCACAAACCACAGAAACCACGCCTGGCTGACTTGGGCATCATAGGAGCTTGTCAGAGAGCTGGAGGTCAGTGTGTGCCAGGTTGATGCCCTGATGGCCCTGTCAGGTGTGGGCTTCCCAGGCATCACGTGAAGGTGGGGTCCCATCCAGAGGGGACAGGCAGCCTCAGCATTGTCTTACCTGAACTGCTAGGCAGGGGTAGGGGGACAGGACCAGACTGTCCTGTCTGTGGCCAGTCCATAGGTAGACTGCAGTGGATGGTGGCCACTGAACACTGCTGTCCCAGTTTCCACTTTTCCTAATGTGCAGGTGGTGTCTGACCTGAACAGCCTCTGTCATGATAATCCTGCATCTTCTCTCTGACCCCAGGTCAGGGGATCCCACTGCTGACTTTCTAATGCCCAACATACTCGCTCACACTGCTCCCCAAGGTTGCATCCTGCATGTCTGTGATGAGTCAGCACACCTCTGAACTCAATTTGTTCATATTTTTCTAGGGATTTCTTGAACTGCCAGCATCTGGTTTTGGTTTCAGGGTGTTGATAGGCTGGTTTCACATTTGTTTGTTTGGTATTTATTAGAAGAGTTCATAGAAGATGAGAATTATCTAGGAATTAAAATTTTAATTTACCACTAAGTGACCTGGGCTTGAGGCCTCTTGGGGACAGACCTTGGGACCCCATTTTCATTTAACTTCATTGTTATGGATCGTTTCATTTATTTATGGGTATGTAATTTTTATTTCTCCTTTTAAATGTGTTTATTTTACCAAGATATTTGCCTTTATATGTAATATTGATGTATATATTCAATATTTTTGATTTAACATTGTTTTAAAATTGACAAAAAATCTCTTGGGATGTCTCATTTTTCATTTTAATTTTTTTTCTTCTTTTTCCTTAATTACGCTTGCCAGTATCTTGTGTATTTTATTAGTCTTTCCATTGGGCATCTGTTACAGTCTGTTTGTTCTAGACTTTTCATAAAAGTGTCTTACTTTCACTCCTTTTGTAATCACCACATACACAATGTTCTTCTCTATTTCTCCTAGAAATGTGATACCTCAAAGCACAAGGTGCTGGCAGTGTCAGTGTGTCCTCAGTCTTTGCCTTATTTTGCTGCTAAATTCAGCCTCAGTGTGACTGATGCATCCAGAAGGCTCTGTGGTTTCCTCAAAAGTCTTGGTGAGCTGCCTTTTGATATTATTTATAGCAAATAGATTTGGTATAATTCAAATTTATAATTTGAGTTTTTATCTGCCCTTTTTATCTCTAGAGTTCAATTTTCAAGGGCACAGGATAGATAAGAACTTCTTTGAGAGTCTTGTGGAACGTGAGAGGACCATGCCTCTGACCCACGCATGGTAGGCAGGTGTCACTTACCCTCTTGCCATGTAGATGGGGTATTGTCTTAACGGCCAGTGCCGGCCCCTCTGGGGACAGCAAATGACCATCTTAGGGCATGTAGCTGGGGACACCTGGGACCCACACTGGCCCAGCAGTGTCAAGTTGCTTGGCTCACAGGGGTTACAGTTATCTGATAGAGGATCACGTCTGCAATGATTGGCATCTGGTTTGCCAGGACACTCTCTGAAGAGCAGAGCAGGAAGGGAATGGACTGTGTCCTTTGTGTGAAGAGAGAAAGCTAGTCATTTCAGTACCTGAGGACTCAAATGTGAACGAGTGCTCGAGTAATACTGCCTCATAAAGGGCGGTAAGAATGCTTCTGGCTAGTCTGTCATGTCACACTATCACTTCCCCCTGACTTAAAGTGTCCCGCAGGTAGGCTCTGAAGAGGAGAACTTGAGCCGTTTGCCAAGTAAGAGTTTTTGTTGTTCCTCAATGGCTTTTTAAAGATGTAAACACATTGGGATTAGCAATAAAGTGACACGTAGACTAAATGTCCTCGCGCCAGCCTGCCTGCCTCGCTGCTGCGTGTTGCTTTCCGTGCAGAGCTGTTTGTTGGCGCACAGCGTGCCACAACCAAAACTGCAGCTGCAGCTGCAGACGAGGACTCCTTAAGTCATCCCTCATACTTTTAATCTTAAAGAGCCTAAGCTTAGCTGAATTTTACCAGAGATCAAAGTTTTAAAATGATCTGCCTTCTCATAGTGAAAGGCCCTATTTTGGAGGGGATGGGGGATTTTTTAAGACTAGTTGGATGTTATATGTTAACAGAATATATCCACAGTGAAACTGATTTTTTTTAAGGTAACTCTTTAACTTGATATAATATTTCTTTTTAAGAATAACTGGCTGCTATTAAGGTTTAGACTGGTTGCAGATATTAAAATTATTTGCTCTATTTATTTTATTGTAATTATTTAAAGTATATTTTTTTGTGTTAGGCTTATTTTCCAATATTTAGAACTTATTTGTAGCAACATAAATGGACTTGGTGGATATGATACCAAATGAAATAAGTCAGACAGAGAAAGACAAATACTGTATGATATCTGTTATATGTAGAATCTAAAGAAAAATACAATAAACTTGTGAATATAACAAAACATAAAAAGACAGATGTCGAGTACAAACTAGTGGTTACCAGTGGGCAGAGTGGAGGGACGTGGTAGAGGTGGTAGATTAAGAGGTACAAGCTTTTAGGTATAAAATAAGCTACAGGGATATATTGTACAACACAGGGAGTATAGCAAAAAAACACAAATTTTTGGGGGGCCATGCCATGAGACCTGCAGAATCTTATTCCCTGACAAGGGATTAAACCTGGGCAACAGCAGTGAAAGCGCCAAGCCCTAGCCACTGGACCACCAGGGAATTCCCTATAGCAAATATTTTATAATAACTATAACTGCAGCATAACTTTAAAAAATTGTGAACTGAGTGGTGACTCTGGCCTGGGCTCAGCAGCAGCACGAGGAGGTTGTGGCGTCTGCTTCATCCAGGCTGTTTGAGCCTGGATGATCGAGATTGTTTGCAATGACCGTTTGGGGAAGAAGGTGCGCATTAAGTGCAATACAGATGACACCATCGGGGACCTTAAGAAGCTGATCGCAGCCCAAACTGGCACCCGTTGGAACAAGATCGTATTGAAGAAGTGGTACACAGTTTTTAAGGACCACGTGTCTCTGGGGGACTATGAAATCCATGATGGGATGAACCTGGAGCTTTATTACCAATAGAGCAGAATTCCTTCTTCCTGCCCTTCCCCCTCCTCCCACCCTCACTCCCCACACTAATATGGATGCTTGTTTTTGGAAACGCATGTTAATAAAAATTTAGAGGCTGAAAAAAAAAATTGGGAACCACTACTTTGCCCATCTGTACCTTATACTGTATATCAGCTGTAGTTTAAAAACAAAGAAACATACATTCATTAAGAAGACAAGTTAGGGATTTCCCTGGTGGTCCAGTGGTTAAGAATCTGCCTTGCAATGCAGGGGAGTCAGGATCGATCCCTGGTCAGGGAACTAAGACCCCATGTGCCTCAGAGTAGCTAAGCCCATGTGCCCTGGAGCCCTCGATCAGCAACTACTGAGCTGGTGCAGCACAACTAGCAAGTCCATGCGCTGCCACAGAAAGATCTGGCATGACACAGTGAAGACATGACACAGCCAAATCAATAAATATTAAAAAAGAGAGAGAGAAAGAAGTTAAAAATCAACATAGTAGTTAATTAAGACCATTATAAAGCTATGCTTAGCCAGTTTACTCATTTTATTTAGAGCTATCCAAGACTATTACAGACTGGAGTTTAATTTAGCCAGTGAATTGGAAGAATAATACCCTGTAAAATTACATTAATTTGTGTATGGAATATGGCAAGGTGTTTATGTAAATATAGATGTAAAGGGAAAAGAAGCAGCAGGAGAATATATGCTTTATTGTGAAAAGTGATACATGCTGTTGTTTGAGAGAGCAAAGGGCACAGTCCTGCACTTGGGCATCTAGCAGTGTCTGTGGAGTCTGCCCTTTTAGTTTGTCTTCGAGGTGAACTGAGGGTCGATCTCACATCCTGTGATGTGGAGCCCAAAGCGCCTCTCTTCCCCACAGGGGTGCATTATGTCTTCGATACAACCATCGCTGCAGATTTCAGCATCCTGGAGAGTCAGAAAGAGTTTGTGCGTCGATTCCGCCAGCACAATGAGGAAGAGCCCGCGTTACCTATGCTGACCTCTGCCTGTCCCGGTGAGCACGGGGCTGCTGCCAGGCCTGCAGGGCCTGACGCGCCCTTTCACATCACTCTGTGTCTGGGCGCAGGCCTAGGCAGTGGGCAAGGTCAGGGGCAGTGGGTCTCGAAGAGGAGTTTGGGCCTTGAGTAGTTTTATGTCAACCAACATATTTATTAATTCTGGGTGATTTAATGGGGAAACCTAACGTCGAGTATTAATTGCTTATCTTCATTTGTCCATACTTCTGAAGTTTGAGACAGACATATCCTATGTTAAGAATAAATCTCTTTTCAAAGTATGATGTATTTCAAACATCCAAACAATTAGAGGTAATATGGTGAACACCCATGGATCCTTTGCCAGCTTAAGTAGAAATTACATGATAAAAAATATTACTTAAAAAAAAATTATTTTACATTAATACTAGATTCCATCTTGGAGCACTTTTTAAACAAATCTTTAATTATTATATAGAGCCTGATATCTGAAGTAGAGAAATTTTATCACAGGTTTTTTAATTCTGAAAAAATAGAAGGTTTTGGAATAAGAAAATTCTAAAGATGATGCATAAGGGAAGGAAGGCAGTACTATACTGGTGACATTTAGTGACATTTAGTGAAAAATTATTTCTAAATCAGGTCTATGAGAGTTGTGGTCTACTTAATCTTGGGTTTTTGTTTACAGTTCTCGTCTCAGTTTATCCCTCCTGGTTCCAGATTTTTCTAGCATTTTATATGTCACTCATCAGTCACTGGGACTATGAGTTAATAAGATGGAATGTTGATGTATGGTTGCTTAGAATTTGGAAATACTTTCCATCCATTTGTAAAACCATGGAGAGGAAACTTGCTATCTGTCTAAGAGGCACATGGATCGACTCATTAACAGCGTGTTTTTCAGTGGCCCACAGGCTGGCAGGAGGTGCTCAGCATCAGGTGGGGCTTATCCTTCTGGAAACATAACCCCCAGGGGGATGCTCCCAGTTCTCCAGGTATGTCAGGCAGTGACTGTATCCAGTCACATAAACTGACTAAATGCACAGTTTGCTGGGCCATGGTGTTCACTTTTGTGTTTATGTCCTTGTAGATGTTTGCACAGCTGCTTAAGAGTAGGTTTGCACAGCTGAGGCCTCGGGAAACCGCCCAGCTCCCTAGAGGCCTTGCAGTGGTACCCGTGCCCCTGGGGTTCCAGCACCGGCTCCTTGCAGGACCCTCACTCAGTGGCACACTCAGCTGGCTCAGTCCCTCCCACCCAAGAAAGAGGCAGCATAAAATGACCCAAGCTCAGCCTGTGCCCCTGGAGCAGTGATTCCAGAGTTCCCGTCCACCCTCCAGTCAGCAGGATCACAGGGATTCCTATGCCATCCTGACACTGTCCCAGCAGATAGTGATGGATCCCTTATGTGGGCAGCCCTGTTGAATGGAGCCTAAACGGAAGCCTCCACTCCTGGCAGGAACTAGCACCGCTGATGTGGGTAGTAGGCAGGTGGTGGATTCTTGCAGAAAGCACATGCCCTCTGTCCAAGGAGTGAGGGCAGCGCTGGTGGAGACGTGGGCCACCTGTTGCTGCTGCACACCGATTGTCCCTCCTCCACCAGCCTGGCATTTGCTGCTTTCAGTGGCCTCCTTGAGCTCTTCAGGGCTCTCAGATGATAAGGCTTTCTCTTCCAGGAACTCTTTGTAGCTAAGCCAGTCAAAGCTGTAACTGTTCAGGTTTATGCCCCCTCTCAAATTCAGGGAGATGAGGTGAGATCTGCTTCGAAACTAACCCTTTTCTAGGATTTGGCGCTGACGTTTTGCTTTCCTATGACAACTTAGAGAAATTAAAGCAGCATCAAGGTCGGATGATCTGACCTGTTGTGCAGAATCGGACTGTGGATGGCCCTGGACTGACTCACCAGCTTCCGCACACAGGGTCCCTGTGTCCCAGCAATGCTTCCTCAGACTGCTTGGAGGGCAGCGCATCCTGGCTGGAACAGGGACATCTGGGTGGGCCCTTGCTGCCCACAAGCCGATGGAGTACCACCTCAGCAGTGCACCTTTGCCTGGTGGGGGTGGGTGGGCGAGGGCATATTGAGTTGCTCAGCTCTGGACGTGCTAAAGGGCTTTGGGCTTTGTGAGAACCTGCCAGGAGCACTCATTGAACTGGAGTGTGCGAAGTAATCTCTCCAATCCAAGGAGAATAGAGTGGGTACCTTGCACTAGGTACTTCTTGGAGCAGGTTTCTTCTCTGCCTTCAGAGAGGGTCCCTGAGAAGAGGTGGGTGGTCTGACAGCAGGATATGGGTGCTCTGTCCACGCCACGCTGCCACAAAGCTGGACAGCCAGCAGGGCTGACCAGGCCCCAGGCTGGTGCTGGTAGCAAGTTCTGATCAGGGGTACCATTGGGAAAGGGCTTGCCACTCCAGTCTCATGCCAGGTGCTGTGGATCCTGTGACCTGGTTCTCCCTCCTCATCCCTGTTTGGTCCTCTTCTCTTGCAAGCCAGGAGGTCCCCCAGGGCCCTCGCCTCTACCAGCCTGTGTTCTGCCTGATCTTGTGCCAGGCCTTCGCAGCACACATCCTGCAGCTGGGGTCTGCCTGAGAGCCGTGTGTGCTGGCGCCGAGACCAGGGTGCACAGGCCCTTACAAAGCCAGACCTGTGGTGGGAGGGGCCTCGGGCCCCCAAAGGCTCCATGGCCTTTGATCGTTTTCCTTTTTCCTTTTATTTATTTATTTTGGCCATCCCACACTGTCCAGGGATTGAACCAAGGGCTCTGGCAGTCAGAACAGTGAGCTCTAACCACTGGACAGCTGGGGAATTCCCTAGTTTTCTGTTTTAACATGAACCATTCCATGCACACGTGCAGAGGTTGGGAACAAGGGGAGCCATCCTGCAGCAGCATCTCTCTGTGGGGCTTCTGCTGGTGACCATGGACATTCCCTGCATGTGCTCCGGCCGGCGAGCGGGTGATGGCTGTGGTTTGAGTTCAGACGAGATTGTCTGGCTGGTGCCTGCTGCTCCTCCATGCAGGAGTGGGCATGGGGAGGTGGACTGCCCTGGGGATCTTGTGGGCAACTTGTCTCTAGGTTTCCTCACCTTCCCCACCCCTCTCATGATGCTGTGGTATACATGCCACTCTGTCACCAGACACTCATTACCGTACCCAGAGGGAGAAGGGGGCGAGCTCTAGCCCCTCCAGATTGAGCTGCTGGCTCTGGTCCACTGGCCTCTCCATCCTGCGTCCCCTCTGGGAACCGTGGCAGCAGTGGTGCACTCAGAGGGCGTGGTGGGAGTCAGCGGCTCAGGGGAGATGCTCCGTGCCGCGCTGGGCATGCCGTGGGCACACTGCAGGTTGTGCTGTTTATTGTGTTGCTTGAGGGGGTGTGGGTTTCTCGTATTTCATCATCCTAAAAGTGGGCAGTTACTGGGCTGTTAAATTCCAGTAGATGGGTGAAGCTTGTGGGCCTGGTGGCTGTGGGCCCCTGTCTGAGCTGCAGCTTCCCATCCCGGCTATGAGAGCGGCTCAGCAGCTGGCAGGGTGGATCTGGAGCCAAGCTGCCCAGGACAGTGCCTCGGAGCTGCTCCTCCAAGCTTGTTCTCAATTTTGGGGAGCCTGCTACCCCCACTCCTCCCTTTCTCCTGCTCTGTCCTCTCTGATCTGGGGCCGAGGGAGGCACCCATCCCCAGCACCCTCCAGTCTTGTGACACATGCCCCTGGGGTTCCCATGGCCAAGCCTCTGAAGAGAGGCGGCTTGATGGAGGGAGCCTGGCATGCACACCTGGGGCTGCCAGAAGATGAGGTGTCCCGGCTGTACTCCGGTGGGGCAGCCATGAGGAGCTGACATGGGCCCCTTCCCTCCTCAGGCTGGGTCCGCTATGCTGAGCGGGTGCTGGGTCACCCTGTCACCCCCCACCTCTGCACTGCCAAGTCTCCCCAGCAGATCATGGGGTCCCTGGTGAAGGACTACTTTGCCAGACGGCAGGTAAGCTGGCCTTTTCCCCAGGGGCAGCGTTCAGTTCAGTGACAAGCTTCCATGTGAGGACAGGTGCTGATGGAGCTCAGGGAGCCAGGGAGGGTGGAGGAGGCTCCCACAGGCGTGTGCACAGCGGGCTCGGGCCCACGCCCTGATGAGAGGGGGTGCCCAGTCACCTGGCTCCAAGATGGTCACTCAGCTGCCGGCTCCTCATGGTGCCAGCGATTCTGGCTCAGCCGGGCACATGGAGAGGGGCAGCCTGGTTGCATGGGAAGCGTCTGGAAGGTGTGGGGAAATGGCCGTGCATTCATTTACAGCCCAGCAGCAGCTGTGGTCACCGTGTTTGACCATTGTGCCCTTGGTTCAGGGGACACAGGTGGCGAGCCTCTCCCTGTGAGTGTCCAGGCAGTGGTTCTGCAGGACGGTGACACTGTGGGTGGACTTGGGGGCATCACGGCTCAGGAACTTGGTCTGTGGGGGTGGAGCTTGGACCCAGGAAAGCACCAGGCCCGCTCCGTTCTGGCTGCCTTCTCCCTTCTGCACGGCCCCCATCATGGGTTTGCTCTTTCTACACAGAACCTGTCCCCAGACAAGATTTTCCATGTCATCGTGGCACCGTGCTACGACAAGAAGCTGGAGGCCCTTCAGGAAGATGTCCCCACGGCCTCTCGGGGTTCTCGTGGCACTGACTGCGTGCTGACCTCAGGTGAGGGGGGGCCTCGGGAAAGGCCGCTGGGAGGCCGGCCAGTGCACCGGCCCGGCGGCTGCTATGTCCAGGATGAGGGCCTGACAGCCACACCCACACTGGAGACACAGCGAAGCTTCCTCCTTCGGGGCAAAGCAGAAGGCACACGTGTCCCCAGGGACATTGCTAGAGTCTTAATGTTCCTTCTTTGCTTGTAGGTGAAATAGCTCAGATGATGGAGCAGAGTGACGTCTTGGTGAGAGATGCTGCCCTGGATACTTTGTAAGTGCTTCTGCAGGGAGGGGCACTCTTGCCCCTTGGGGGCTTCCAGTATGACCTTGTGATCTCTACCAGGGTCTCATCCCAGGACCTTCCTCGTTTATAATGAGGCCACCTGCCCTGCTGAAGCATAGGTGTGGTATGGCCCCTGGCATGGCGAGCTACCTTGTCGCCCCTCTACAACCCCTTGGCTCTGAATAGGACATGGCCAGTACAATGCTGAGTGGATGCCATTCAGCCTGTGGTGTGGACACCAACACCCTCCTTTCTGAACTTCACATGTTCCTGACATCACACCTGGACCTACCGAGGGATAGAGGCAGAATCTCACGGGGGATGGAGGAGCACCCCCACACAGTGGCTCCCTGAGGTCCGTTTGCCCAAGAGCAACAGCCTGGGTTTCCGCCATCAGTGGTCGCCCCAACCACCAACCACACTCCTGCTGCATCCTGTGCCTCAGGGCACGGACTGCATGGCAGGTCCTCCAAGCAGTGATGTCAGGACCACATGTGGCCCTGGTGTGGAAGGCGGACTGAGGTCCTTAGAACAAGCAGCTGGCGTCCTTACGGCCAGAGCCCATGCTTGGGCCTAAGCGGACCCAGAGGCCTCCTGGCTGGCCACAGATGGCGGCATGCTCTCTTGTGTGGCCCGCAGATGCCCAGTTCTCATGCCCCGAGTTGTGAGGTTCTCAGGGTCAAGCCTTGATGCCTGCGCACTCAGAGGAGTCACTTGGGCAGTGGTGGGCACACCTGCAGGCGTCATGTTGGCCAGTGAACTCCAGCACAGAGGAGGTTTTTGCCCTAAGTCTAAGTACTTACAAAGGGTTTTGCGACCTTGGATCATAAAACTTGGAGAGTCGGATTTAACTTTTGCCCTCGCTTTTCCTGCCTGGTGAGGTTTGGTGACGTGAAGGAGGAGGAGCTGAGGCGCCATGATGGAGCCGGCTCTGACGGGTACCTGGCACATATCTTCAGACATGCGGCCAAGGAGCTGTTCAACGAGGACGTGGGGGAGGTCACCTACCGGGCCCTGAGGTGCGTGGGGCTGGGGCGGCCTCTGTCCGTCTGCCTCTGTGGTCAGCACTGCCTATCAGGTGTAAACTCTATAATAGGACCCCCCCGCCCCCTACAGCCAGCTACAGGTCTGAGAGGGGAGATCCTATTTATAGAATTCACACCAGTCAAGATGGAAAGGTCTTTGATGTGTTACTCACAGACTTAATTTTGCTAACATCCCTAACTTAGAAATAGTTCTCTGACCACAGAGGAAGGACCCTGTGGGTCATAGTTTGTATTGCTGATTTCATAGGAACAAAGACTTCCAGGAGGTCACCCTTGAGAAGAGCGGAGAGGTCCTCTTGCGCTTTGCTGCAGCTTATGGCTTTCGAAACATCCAGAACGTGGTCCTAAAGCTGAAGAAGGGCAAGTTCCCGTACCACTTCGTGGAGGTTCTCGCCTGTGCTGGTGGTAAGACTCAAGAGGCCAGGCTGAGCTGGGCCCCTCTGAGCCCTGTGGGAAATGAGGAGTGAGATGTGAGGGCCAGAGGGTGACCGTTGGGTGCTGCCAAGGGGTAGGGGTAGGGAGGTTGGGAAATTTGCTGCAAGTTCTTTTAAATGAATTTTTATCTTAGAAATCACATTATCTACGTGTTTGAGAATAAGTAGCACAGGTGGCGCTAGTGGTAAAGAACCCACCTGCCAGTGCAGGAGATGTGAGAGACTCGGGTTCAATCCCTGGGTCAGGAAGATCCCCCTGAAGGAGGGCATGGCACCCCACTCCAGTGTTCTTCCCTAGAGAATCCCATGGACAGAGGAGCCTGGTGGGCTACAGACCATAGTGTCACAAAGAGTTGGACATGACTGAAGCAACTTAGCACACATGCACACACGTACAGCACTAGTATGTAGAAGGCATGTTCTTCATTCAGTCCGAGGTGTTTGGGTGTGGGTTTGGGCTCCTGTGTGGTTCATGGGTCCCCAGCCCCTGTCTCTCCCTGATGCAGCCCACATGTGGACTCACACACTAAGGCTTTATGCAGATACCAGTGATTTAGCTGTTCATTAATACTTTCTGTGCTCTCCTGTGATGAATTCTAAGAGAAACTGGAAATCCAGATGGGCATGCATAGCCATCCAGTTCTAAAAGGTTGCCAAGTAATTTCAGCTTTAGGTAAAAACATTTCATGGGTAGTATAAAGAGGAGAGAATAGGAAGCACGTGGGGTTGTGAGCCTGTGCCCAAGCTTTGGCCACAAGACACTGCACACTGCCATCATCGCTCTGCTATTCCAGAATCGTCTCCCCTTTAAGATGAAAGCAGGGGAAGAGTAAGTGCCCTGTGTTTTTCAGGATGCCTTAATGGCAGAGGCCAAGCCCAGACCGCAGATGGGCGCACAGACAAGGCCTTGCTGCAGAAGATGAAAGGCATCTACGCTGACATCCCCGTGCAGCTCCCAGAGGCCAGCACCCACGTGCAGGAGTTATACCAGGAGTGGCTGGACGGCACCGACTCCCCCCGTGTCCAGGAAGCCCTGCACACTGCATACCAGGGCCCAGGGCAGCCCACTGACAGCCGAGACATCAAGTGGTGAAGATCGAGGAGACTGGGAGGCGGGCCTATCAGCTGCCTGAGGACGGAGGAGCTACCCTGTGTGGGTATCAGAGACACTTGAAGAAAACAGCTCAGCTTTCCTTTTACCACTTTGGTTTTTCAGAATCCTCTGCTACCCCCATTTGTCAGCAGCCCCCTCCCTCAGTTCGATGTGGTGCTATCTTCGTAATATGTGTGTAATTGGAACATTTTAACAGGAGAGAAGAGTTGCCCCAATTTTGAGTTTCCTTTAAGACTAAAATATTCCAAAGAACAAGAATGGAGACAGACTACTGTCTTTCAGGCTTAAAAAAAAATCCAAAAAGTGTCCTATGAAGAGTTAAGACCCCAGAAGTTGTGATTCACATGCCCCAGAGAGATTTGATGTGGCAATGACAGGAAGCAGGCAGGCTGCGGGGGTTGTGGGCCATGGTCTGTGGTCTTCCCAGTTGGCTGTTGTTTTTACAAACCATGTTTTTTATTCCTGAGAATGGTTTTGCCAAAATTTGAATAAACTGCATCCTTTTGGAATTGGGGGGCTCATATGAATCTGGGTTTTCAGTTTCTCTAGAGAAAAAGTTTTAGCAACAGTGGGCCGTGTTTCTCACTGCCGCAGTGGCTGGAGTGCAGTGGCAGCCGCCTCCTGGGACCAGCCTGTCTAACTGTGGGCCCAGCAGGCTCTGGCCGCTTATACCCCAAACTCATGCTTTCACATTCAGTCTTTAGGTAAACTCACCTCGAGGCAGAGGGAGGCCTGCGAAGGGTGACAGGTGTTACATATGGAAGGACGGGAGAGGCAGCTGACCTGCTCAGGCCAGACTATGTGGTCAGGAGTCCGCCTGCTTCGTTCTTCTCTGGGTGGGATCAGACAGGTGACAGCCATTCTGTCCCCAACCTCAGATGAGGCAGCTTCTCGATGGCCTTGCCTCTCCCCACCCGCCCCCGCCATCACCCTCACATACTGTGGGCCTGGCTTATCCACATGGCTCCTGATGGGACCCCCCCAATCTGGCATGTAGTGCTCGTGTGAGCTCGCCTTAAAGATAAATGGAAGAGGACAGTTTTCCTATAAACAGAAAGGGCTAGCAAAGAATTGGAAATTAAAGAATCACAAAACTCCATATCAGGGCTCATCCTGTGAAACGAAAGACATCTGTGGACGGGCCTCCAGTTGGTTCTTCAAAGCACTTGAATTTTGTTAACGTGGATGGCAGTGACGTTCTTGGATTCCTCAGTGCTTATAAAGCCTGAACTGTTAGATTTCCTTCATTGACTCTATGTTGTATTGTACCTGTATGCCTATTGGGGTTGAAAACTGGATATATTGTGTGAAATTGTATATTTTTTGCTTTCAACCTATGTATAATTGGATTTCTCTCTTCTGCAGTAACTGATTATGGAATAAACACTTCAGGAGTGTCTGAGTGTGGAGAGTGTGTGAACCAGACACTTACTCCCCAGTCTGGGGCCTGTGTGTGCCCTCCCTCACCAGCACCCCCCAGGCGACCTCCCTCGTGCTTTCGGAGCCAGCACAGCCCCAAAGGGCCATCTTTGCCTGAAGCCTTCTGTGGGCGGGGGATGCCAGGAGTCGGAGTGGGCTCTTCTTGCCTCAAAAGCCACCTCTTCTGGCTAAAACGAAGGTACTCCTTGGCCAGGGGACCGGGTATTCTCACATGTGGTGTCAGGTCCTATCTGCAGCTCACCTTTGGTTATGGCTGCGTGAGAGGAAAGTAGGACAAGGGTTTGTTTTCCTTCATTATAACTCAAATTATACGAGCAGTCAGTGAGAGGCAGCCTCACAGTCGGGCTAGGGTTGGGTGCAGGGGCTGTCTGTTAGTGAGCAAAGCTGTGCTGGCATGAGGAAGGGGATAGACTAGGTCCAGATTTGCACCACACACAGCAGCTGCCCTCCAGGAGTGCTGTTGCCTGAGTTCTGGTGTCACGGGTTACCTGTGTGTGTGTGTTTTGGACATCCTGGCAAGTAGCTGCTGTCTGGTGCCCTTGCCCTGGACCAACTTCTCAGAATCCAGATTTCTCAGTTCCATTTCTGCCTCGCCTCTGAGCTTGGGCCAGTTGTAGCCAGTGTACATGCTGGTCCTTCCTTCGCACCCCTGCTGGAGTGAGGATTGGAGTTCATGTACTGCTCACACATCAGTTTGCTGCTGACCTTGGGTGTGGAGCAAGGGCACTGCCTGTCTAGAGGCTCTTAAGCTCTGCCACTGACTTAAAGGTGTTCTGTGGCCTCACCTGCTGGTCCAAAGCTGAGCAACAGAAGCCTCTGGACACACCGCCTGCAGTGAGATCTCAGGTCCTCACTCACAGTCTAGTCAGATGCATTAGGCGAGGGGACTGCAGCTCAGGCAGGCAATGCACAGGCCACTTGGCCACCAAATGTGGGCTCCCACCTCGGGCCCAACCTTGGCACTTAACACGCCACCTCCTTCCACACAGGCACTGGCCTTTCTCCTGATCAGTAACAGCAAGCATAGAGTCCGTCTAAAGCAAGTGAACCCTCAACTCTGATGTTCAGGGAAGTAAAGGACCTGGCCTCAAATTTGGGCAGAGGCCCCTGGACTTTGAATAAGGATAAATCATGTGTTTGGGGATTTTTTTTTTTTTTTTGTCTTCGGTGTTTTTGAGTCATAGGTGTACTGTATTGGATAAAGAACCAGGCACTCATTGAAGGCTACTACTTACGAAGCTATGAAAAGCCTGGCTTTTTAATTGAGAAAAACAGTATCTTCTTTTCCATGTCCCTGTAAGAAGTGTTCCACATTAGTTTTATGTGGACGTTTCCAAAACCTTGATGAAAGAACTTGTAAGCACAGTTCTAAGGGTGAAGTGTAGTTACTCTTAGTAAGTCATGCAAGTAGTAAATTGTATGAGACATACTAGTATTTCTAAAGCTACACTGAAGTTGCAAAAAACCTGGATTTATTCAAGGAAAAACTATCTTTCTGTCTCCTTGTAAAGACTTGCTTTTAAATCAGATCTATATAGACATTTCTTACACGCTTCATGAAAAGTTCTAGGCATGATGTTCTTCCCTATGACAGTAGCCACCCAGGTGCCACATGGGCAGTACCTGAAAGGACACTTTTCTGTGTGTGTACGAAGAGTAAACAGCCTGCACTGAAAGCTCGCCAGTGGAGAAGGTTAAGTAATTGTCCTGACGTGGGATTCCAGAGGTTAAAGGGTGCATGATGAGCCATCTCAGGACAAGAGTATTAGCTCCTTTGGTCTCTTTTATTTTACTTTTTACTTTTTGGCCACATGGCACGACCTGTGGGATCTAGTTCCCTAACCAGGGAATCGAACCTGGGCCCTTGGCAGTGAAAATTCAGAGTCCCAGCAGTTGGACTTCTGGGGAATTCCCCTGGTCCTTTAAAAAAAAGAAAAAGTCAAAACTGGGCAGGGAGGACATTAAAAAGAACAAAGACATCCCTAATGTGGCTTCTGGGGGAAGGGGAGCACTGGCGATCAGATAGACCAGGGTCTCAGAGTTGCTGCCTGTCCTGTGCCAGACCATGTCCCTGTGTCCCAGTGCCTGGGACACAAGAGGGAAAGACAAAAATGGCCACAGGCAAAACAGGTTCTACCGAGATTTGAACTCGGATCGCTGGATTCAAAGTCCAGAGTGCTAACCATTACACCATAGAACCATATACCATCATGTCCCCTTGCAGGCCACTCTTGGCCTAAGTGCCCCTGGGATGGGACAAGAGGGGTACACAGGTCCCATTAAGATTCTGACATATCTGTGGATTCAGAGTCCAGAGCGCTGATGGTGACGCCATAGAACTAGCTGTCACCCCTGGACACCAGGGTCCACAGCCCAACCTTGTCCCACAGCTGGGGACCCAAAAGCCATATAGCAGGCAAAAATGTGAGCTTATAGCAGAGGATGGTTTCGATCCATCAACCCCTGGGTTATGGGACCAGCACGCTCCTGCTGCACCACTCTGCTGTAATGTACTCCCTTCCTGAGTCTGCCTCTGACTACCCCAAGCTTCCCTGGGCGCAGACCAGCAACGAAACTGGACTCAGGGAAGGACCCTCCTGCCAGTGCCCATTTTCATAAAGTGGATTTTTGCTCTCCCTCCCTCAACTGCTTATCAAGAGAAATTTCTGACCTTTTCTGCTGTTTAGCAAATGTCAAGCAGCACAATCTTTACCCAGAGTGTCCTTGGACGATGGTAGCAGGATTTGTATTGCGGTGGTGCTGGCTGGATTTCAGAAGAGAGCAAAAGCAGCATTTCTCTCCATCATTTGAAAGGTTCCTAATCTGTCCAATTGTCAGTAACTTTCCTTTTAATCCAGTTTCTTCTCTTGACCTACTTCTTCCCCCATAGCCAAGGAAGCTGTTTCTTTCATATGAAACTGCTTAAGGTGTTACAAAATCTTGCTGTTCAGCTTTCTAATTCAAAGCAAAACATTAAAAATAACTTTGCATTTCAAAGAGGTAAAAACTGTTCTCCCAAGAATATTCTGAATATAAATCCTTTGGTGGGGGGGAATCTGAATTTGTGTTGAAACTTTTCATGTAAGAACTGTCCATGAAGCTTACTGTTGCAGATAGTAAGCTGTCTCCTTTCTTACACCAACAGAATCAACAGGAAAAAGAAATACAGAGACTGAAACTACTGGAATTCTATGGCCAAACTCTGAGCACCACACCAATCAAAGGATTGGAACTATTTTTTTTTAACTTCTTATTTTATGTTGGAGTATAGTGTATACCTCAAAGTGATTCTTTTATACATAGTCATGTATCTATCCTTTTCCAAATTCTTTTCTCATTTAGGTTGTTACATAATATTGAGCAGAGTTCCTGAGCTACATATACAGTAGTAGGTTCTTGTTGGTTATCCCTTTTAAATATAGCAGTGTGTACATGTCAGTCCCTAACTCCCTAAGTATCCCTCCCCGCCTCTCCCTTCTCCTCTGGTAACCATAAATTAATTCATTCATTCTATGTCTGTGAGTCTGTGTCTGTCTTGTAAATAAGTTCATTTGTATAATTTTTTAGCTTCCAAAGGGATATCACGCCCCAAAGCATCTAGGATATTGTTTGAGCCAGATAAATCTAACTACATAGGTACCTCGGAGGGAAAAAGGTAGCCACTGGGAGAAGACAAGGGGAACGCCTCTGGGCCGCACATCTCATCAATGCCCGGGGCAGGGCTTAGACAAAACCAGATTGGAGGATTGGGGTCAAAGAGCTTTCTGATGACATGTGCGGAGGGACTTCTCCGAATGGGTGCAGAATTTGAGAAGATTCATGTTCCACGCGAAACCTCTTCCAAAGGTCTCTACCGTAGGAAAGGCTGACCCAGGTTGCCTAGCTAGTCTGCAGATGTCTGTCAGACTCTTTTCAGCCATCCTGCTGATGTTTCACCGTTGGACTGAACTGGCTGTGGCGACAGGGAGACAACATGGAGTTTCCCACCAAGCTTGCCTTGGCTAACTCCCACGTACAAGTTTTAGTGACCAAGCCTCCATCCCAATATTGGCTGCGGACAGAGCGGGCAGCCAGCCACCTAAGAGCTAGGCCACGTTGGAACAGACCCTAAGTTCGCACCTGGACTTAATCTGCTTTCCCTTCGGGACCCCCACTATCTTCACCACACCCTACACAACACCGCTCCCGGCAAACCACGGGGCTTTACAGTGACAGGATTCTGCTCTTGGGAAAGGATTTCTCTTTTCAGTACCTCACCGCGCAGAGGCAGTGCCCTAGAAAGGCGTGACAGCGCCTGTGTATTTCCTCAGCACACCCGAGAAGTGAGAGCGCAGGAGCAAAGCGAAAGAGCTGGGGAGGAGGACGCCTCGCTTTCGGCCTAAAGCCCTGTCGACCCGTGACCCTGGGCCCACGGCCAAGCCCGGCACCCGCTCCACTTGTCGGCGACTGAAGCGGCGGACGGCGTGCGCCCGCCCACGGAGTCGGCCGGGATCGCGCCGGCTCTCGACAGAACCAGGCTTCTCCCTCACGGCGGCGCCGGCGGTCCTGTGGGAGCGGTCACGTGGGAGCGGTCACGTGGCTGGGCAGTCACGTGTCCTGAGGACGTCTGCGTGCGACGCCGCGCTCCCGCGTTCCCGCGTGGGATATGTGCGTTTCGCAGCTTGCGGCGTGGGTAAGGGTACCCTGCGTGCCGCACGTTAGACAGCTTGCCGTCCGGAGCTGCCCCTCCGCGGGGACGCGCTGATGGACGCCCGGGCCGTGTAGACCCTGCGGGCTCCGGTCGGGGTCCAGGTGTCCCGCTCCCCGCAGGGCCCAGGATGGGTGGGGTCTCCAGTTAGTGCGGTTTGAAGCTCCCTTTTTAAAGAAGAATGCGAAATTAGATACGAAGGTAAATGTTGATTAGAATAAGAAAAGTCAATTATACACAGCTGATTAATATCACAAACTTCAAACAAAACACAAAGCTTTTCTCTAACTGCCTAACACGCCTCATTTTTTTTTTCAATTTTTAAATTGCAGACCTTAATTACGCCTTCATATGGAAATAATTTGGTAATACTGTTTGTACAGGATAAACAGAAAGATAATTCACTTTTGAGCAGGGGTAATCAAATTTTTCTCTTAGTAGTAGTTTTGAAAAGATTGTTAGTCTTGCCTTCCTTTGGTAATGTTACTATTCTTTTAGGGTTGCCCTCAGATTTGGCCAAACCTATCGGTGGCTCAGACGGTAAAGTGTCTGCCCGCAGCGTGGGAGACCCGGGTTCGATTCCTGGGTTGGGAAGATCCCCTGGAGAAGGAAATGGCAACCCACTCCAGTACTCTTGCCTGGAAAATTCCATGGACTGAGGAGCCTGGCGGGCTACAGTGCATGGGGTCGCAAAGAGTCGGACGCGACTGAGCGACTTCACTTTCACTTTCATCCTGTGTTTGGAGCCAACGATCCATCTCTAATCCGTGGTGGCCTCCTAACAGTGGCTTGTTAAGAGCTTTGTGTCATGTATTCCATGATCTATATTTCATGTCAGATCAGGAAGAAATGGAAAATGCTTTCCATGTTTGCTTTACTCATCTAAAATAATTGGATCAGGTGTTTCTGCCCTCCTTGCAGAAGGAGCCTACTCTGTTCTTAATGTGATTGGTGTGTGGCCAAACATGGATTTCAAAGGTGGCTCAGTGATAAAGAATCTGCCTGCCAATCCAGGAGACAACAGGAGGGGAGGGTTTGATCCCTGGATGGGGAAGATCTCCTAGAGGAAGAAATGGCAACCCACTCCAGTACTCTTGCCTGGAAAATTCCATGGTCAGAGGAGCCTGGCTAGCTGCAGTTCATGGGGTTGCAGAGTCAGACACAATATTCAAGTAAGCATGCTTATATGCTGTGTGCAGTCCATGAGTTTTGACAGTTCTGAAGATATTCACTAAAATGAAAGTCTGATGTAAGTGATATCTGTCTTGTTGAAAACTGTAATGCAAAACAATACAGGCAATGTTTAGTCTTGGAATAGGCTAGCCAATATCATGTAACAGATTTCCTGTTAAAAAATAACTCTTTCAAAATGTTTCAAGAAGTATCTTTTTTTGTCCATTGTACCTTGATTCTTTGTAAATGGAATTACAATTTTGAACAAACAGATTTTTCATTAAACAGAGTTGAGGGAATTATTGTTCATTCTAACAGGTTTAGTGAAGCATCACAGTGATCAATGAAGTATATAATCAGTGGGTGGGGCCACCTGGTGTGTCCTGCTGACTGGAGGGTTGTGGTTTTCCTTTCTGTTACCATCTTCTTCCTTCTGCTTTTTTTTTCTTCTGTTTTTTTTTTTTTTTTGCTTCCTCTTAAGAAGTGTTCTGACTCTCATAATACCTTTCATCTCTGTGTTGTCATTTTTATTACCCATATTTTCTTGGCTATCATGATTCTTCCATGATTTTTATCATTATAGTTTTTAGTTTCCATTGTGGTATACTTTTTGATATTTTGAAATTTCTGCTAGACTTTTTCTTTTAGTTTTTCCCCCCTTTTTTCCTTCTTTCCAGTAAGATACTTCCTCTGTTTGAATTTTTATATGATCAGTAATTCTTTAAAAGTATACTAAGTTAATCTGAATTTAAGGCAACAAGTGCAACTCAAATACATTTCTTATTGCCCCTACAAGTACTGAGCTTCATGACTATGTAATGAAATAATCATATACCACATCCAGTGATTTATTGGTGAATGAGTAAGGAGTTCCACCACAGGAAAATGAATTTCTTCAGGCCCTTTTGCTGTGTCATATGAAGGTTGAAATGAGTTCATACTGATGTTTCCAGCTCTAGTCCGGAAACACGTGGTTTCCTCCAGCCCCTCCTTAACTTCTCTGTAGCTCACTATCCAACATAAGAAATCTTCTTCGCCCACTTTTAACAATTGTGGTATTTGATTTGTGTAGAGGCAGGGCTTGTGTCTCATCTTTTTATTTCCTAAATGAAGCATAGTGTCTCCTGTGGATGCAGCTCTGCATTGATGTTCAATTGACATGTTTAACTTTGATTTTTGCCATCTGAATTCTCTACAAAAGAGTTGCATCAGCTTCCATGCCCATGTTCTGACTGCCTGCTTCCTCTCAATTTCTCATCCCTAACCTAGGGCCAGCAGGATGAGGCAAGGTTTTCATCTTGGTCCTTGGTGTTTCAATCCAAAGGCTCAGAGAAGTTTTCTGCCTGGGCCAATGGACAGTAACTGATTGGAATATAATCATTCACTCATTATGTCACTTTCCAAAACTTATTCTGCATCAGGCCAGTGCTAATCAGGAGCTCCACCTCCAAGCTCAGAATCCTGTTGGAATAATGTGCATAATGACTGTCCCAGACTGCGAGCTGAGAACCAGGTGGGTATGAAGGAGGTCCAAGGGAGGAGCAGTTCTCACTGTGTGGCAGGTGGCTGGGGTGGCTGATGGAGGCGCCATGGGAGCGGGGTCTTCCATTCGGGTAGCTTGGTGAGCAAGTGAGGGGAGGGGAACCGGGGAAGGGGGCTGACCATGTGTGAGGGAATTTGGGTTGCTGGTCCAGGTGAGGAGTGCTGAATCAAGGCTGCCTCCCTTTCCTGGACTAATGAAGGCAGGGCCTGTGTCCCCTTTGCTCCCTGTGGGTCAGGGCATCCAGCACTGGGCCCAGCATGAGGAATGTTTGATGAGTGAACAAGCTAGTGAATGAATGAATGAAAAAGTGAATGCATGAGTGGGCAATGAGTAGCCCATGAATCAAAGTTTGCCCAGAGGTTTAGAACTCAGGCAATGAGAGGACCAGGGATGCTTAGACAAACACTGAGAAGGTACAGCCCAGGTGGAGTGGGGCTGGAGCTAGGTCCCCTGAGTCAAGGCAATAGAAGCTCCTTTATTCAGAAACAGCCTTTAGCTATTGAATTTTCTGTCCTACTGTGTTTTGCCCATTTCCATGTTTCTGTGTTTTGGGGGACGCTAATGTCCTTGACTGGAGAAGGCAGTGGCAACCCACTCCAGTACTCTTGCCTGGAAAATCCCATGGACGGAGGAGCCTGGTGGGCTGAAGTCCATGGGGTTGCGAAGAGTTGGATACAACTGAGCAACTTCACTTTCACTTTTCACTTTCATGCATTGGAGAAGGAAATGGCAACCCACTCCAGTGTTCTTGCCTGGAGAATCCCAGGGACACCAGAGCCTGGTGGGCTGCAGTCTATGGGGTCGCACAGAGTCAGACATGACTGAAGTGACTTAGCAGCAGCAACATCCTTGACTGGAGATGATGCTAAGGGCAACTGACCTGGCTGGCCCTGGCACACTGGTCACTACAAGGGGCATGAGCCTCATACCTTCATCTCCTGCTTCCAGGCTGTCCTTGGTGTTTTTTTCAAACTTTGGTAAATATGGCTTAGACCACAGAGGCACAGGGGACAGCCTGTGCAGGGCCACCTACCCCAGGGCACATTCTGAGGGCTGTCTTTCCAGAACCATTGCCTTAATCCAGGAGGTAAGTACTGTACACATAGACAAATATGTAAGGTTTCTATGATATGTGTGAAGAATTACATAGGGACACACCCACAGACCTGCTTTCTGCCCTCAGGCGTACAGAGTGATCATGCCTCCCCAGTTTCCAAATCACCTAAGGGAGGCCTTTGGAGAAGAGATTTTGGTGGAGGAGGATTAGAAACACACTTTCAGGTCCAGTTAATACCAATAAATTTAAGGGTATTTTCAGAATTTTCTTTTTTAAATTGGTATTATAAGATTTATCTCTGAGGCTCTCATTTTTTTAAAGAATGCAATTCAACTAGGAATGTGTTTATTTTTCACCTATAAAATTCAATTTCCAAAAATCAGATGGAGTTTAAAACATTTTACCAATTTTTAGGTGCTCTAATGAAAATGTAATTTTAAGTTGCAGTTACATTAGTGAGACATGTGAGACTTCTCTAGTGGTCCAGTGGTTAAGACTCTGAGCTTCCAATGCAGGGGTTGTGGGTTCAATCCCTGGTTGGTAAACTAAGATCCCACATGCCGTGCAATGTGGCAAAAAAAAAAGTTTAAAAAAGTGAGACATGTTTATTCTCTTTTATTAGGGAAAAGGGCAGAATCCTAATAAGCGGAAGTAGCTCATGTGAGCAGCTGAGTGAGGGTTGTTCTAGGCCTTTCCTGGTGAGCAGGTGGTAGATCAGCCCTGACTATGGGGCACACACATCCCCATTACCACACCTGGGCAGAGTCACCCCTTCATTTCTTTAATGTGTGGGTGTCCTGGTATATTCAGCTGGCTGCCACCGATGTACATTACAGAACTGTGTCGATTTCCATTTTGAACCCTGCAGGAATCAACCAAGCACAACTGTGCTGGTAACTTGTAAATTCCTGCACCTGGAACATCTGGCTCTGAAGATACCACACTCCCAGCTTTGCTCTATTTCAATGACCTTTCTGTGGAAACTCAAAACACTTTCCACAAAATGCTGGTACGAGGAAGCACAAAAGGGCTTAAGAGAGCCTGCACCACCTCCCTGGAATCCGGGAGGCACCCCTGTCCCGCTGTGCTCACCCCCTCCATTTGTTTCTTACTTGCCTGTTAAAGGCGCTTGTGTTGTTTCAGCCTTTGGTTGTTATGAATAGAGCTGTTATGAACATTCTTAAATAAGCAATTTTGCAGGCATCTGCTTTCTTCTCTCTTGGGTAAATACCTAGGGATGGAATGGCTAGACCTACACTTACGTGGTAGGGGTCTGTGATGTGTGTGTGTAGGACTTTATGTATTAATAAGGATTAATAATTAATACATAAAGTATTAATACAGCCCCAACCAGTTTCCAGATCACCTAAGGGAGGTCTTTGGAGAAGAGCTTTTGGTGGTGAGGATTAGAAACATACTTTCTATCCCAGTTAATATCAGTAAATTTAAGGGTATTTTCAGTATTTTCTTTTTTAAATTGGTATTATAAGATTTATCTCTGAAGCTCTTGATGATGAATGAAATTCAACTAGCAATGTATCATTCACCTATAAACTTATTCTTTCCAAAAATCAAATGGGAGTTTAAAACATTTTGCCAGTTTTCAAGTGATCTACTTATGTTTTCCCACCTTAATTGTATTTTAAAATTGCAATTATGAAAGTGAAACATGTGGGACTTCCCTAGTGGTCCAGTGGTTAAGACTCTGAGCTTCCAATGCAGGGGACACAGGCACTTTATCATTCTTTATCATTCATTCTCTTCCCTGGTGGCTCAGACGGTAAAGAATGTGCCTGCAATGCAGGAGACCTGGGTTCAACCCCGGGTGTGACAAAAAAAAAAGTTAAAAAGGTGAGACATGTTTATTATTCTTTTTTATAATGGAAAAGGGCAGAATCCTAGTAAGTGGGAGTAACTCATGTGAGCAGCTGAGTGAGTGTTGTTCTGGGCCTTTCCTGTTGATCAGGAAGGAAGATCAGGTCAGGAAGATCCCCTGGAGAAGGGAATGGCAACCCACTCCAGTATTCTTGCTTGGAGAAGAATTCCATGGACAGCCCACAGGATCATAAAGAGTCAGACACAACTGAGCGACTAACATTTTCTTCTTCACTTTATAATTCTCTATCGTTCATTCTCTAATTAATCAATACTTTATGTATTAATAAGGAAAATGATCAGGGTTGATCTTCCACCTACTCACCAGGAAAGGCGCAGAATACTCACTCAGTATGTTCACATGAGCTACTCCCACTGCTTAGGATCCTGCCCTTTGCCATAATAAAAAAAACAGTAATAAGCATGTCTCATTTTTAAAAAACTTGTTTATAGGCCACTCCATGTGGCATGTGGGATCTTAGTTTTTAACCAGGGATTGAATCCATGCTGCTTGCATTGGAAACTCAGAGTCTTAACATAATAAGAAGCTGCCAGACTATTTTGCAGTGATGGTACCACCTATATTACCACTGACAGTGCAGGAGAGTTTGCATTGCTTCACATCATTGCCTACACTTGGTAAGGTTGGTTTTATTAATTTTAGCCATTCTTCCAGTATTCTTGTGGTTTTAATTTGCATTTCCCTGATGACTAGTGATATCAAACATCTCTCCTTGAGTATATGGATCATTCACGTATCTTCTCTTGTGAGGTAGCTGTTCAAGACTCTTGCCTATTTATTTTTTCATAACTTTTACCAATTTTTTTCCTTTTATGGTTTTCACTTTTGGGGTCCTGTGACCCAAAAGACACAAGGATAGTTTCCTGTTTCCTTTTTGGAAGCTTGATAGTTTCAGCTTTTACATACAGCTCTATGATCTATCTCAAATTAATTTTTCTGTGTGGTGAAAGATACAGGTCAGATTTCTCATTTGTGATCATGATGATTATTTATCTAGTTGTTCCAGCAGTTTATTGAGTAGACTTCCTAAAGAAAAACTTTCTCTACACACAACACTTCTGACACCAGATGTGTGGATTTTCCATACCAAGCAATTTCCAGTTCTCTGTGGGCTCGAGGTGCTGCTGCTGCTGCTAAGTCGCTTCAGTCATGTCTGACTCTGTGCAACCCCACAGACGGCAGCCCACCAGGCTCCTCTGTCCCTGGGATTCTCCAGGCAAGAACACTGGAGTGGGTTGCCATTTCCTTCTCCAATGCATGAAATTGAAAAGTGAAAGTGAAGTCACTCAGTCGTGTCCGACTCTTAGTGACCCCATGGACTGCAGTCTACCAGGCTCCTCTGTCCATGGGATTTTCCAGGCAAGAGTACTGGAGTGGGGTGCCATTGCCTTCTCCGGGACGCCAGGTGGGCCACCTACAATTTAATTCAGTTCTCACAGGAACTACCTGGAGTTACTGCAGACCCCACAGGTTGAGGGCCCCATCCCACAAGACTGTCCCCACTTCAGACACCAATTGTAAGTAGTAGGCCCACAGGGTACCTGTACTTAAACACTTCTATCCCACGTGGCTACAAACAGGCATTCCCACGACCCTCTCAGGTTCAGTAATTTGATAAAATGACTCACAAAACCCAGGGAAATAGTTATGTTGATGGATTTATTATAGGGACATTCTAAAGGATACAGCTTAACAGCCAGATGAGGAGATACAAGGGATATAGCCCAGAAGGGCCTTCAATGGAGCTTTTGCCCATGTGGGATCAGAGTACCACTCTCCTGGCACATGCATGTATTCACTGACCTGGGAGCTCTCTGAATCCCATAATTTAGAGACTTTTATGGAAGTTTCATTATATAGTCATCTTTGGTTAACAATCTTCAGTCCCTCTCCCAGAGGATAGTGGTGGGGTTAAAACTTCTGTGTCTAATGCTGGCTTGGTCTTTCTGGTGACCGGCCCCCATCCATGAGCTCATCCAGAGTTGCTTCATTACAACAAAAGATGCTCCTATACCCAGGAAATTCCAAGGGATTTAAGAGCTCTGTGTCAGGAACCAGGGGCAGAGACCAAGTATATATTTATTATATCACATTGCCCTTTCCCTACAGAGTAACTTTGGCACCTCTGTTAAAATCAATTGACTTTATATGTGGAGGTCTATTTCTGGACTTTTTATTGTGTTCCACTGGTCTGTCTACTCTTATACCAATGCCACACAATTTTGATTAGTATATAGCTTTATGTTGATTTGAAAACTATAGCTACACTGTATTTTATTAGCTTTTTGTTAAAAGCTGAATTAGAAAAGGCACGTCATATTAACTTCGTTACTATAGCTTTAATTTCTATTAATATAGCCATAAGTCCTTCAAACTTAGTTCTTCTTTTTCAAGATCATCTTGATCCTTTGCACTTCTATATAAATATCAGAATCAGCTTGTCAGTTCCTACAAGCAAGCCAACTAGGGATTTGAGTGGGATAATATTGATTCTATGGACCAACTGGGCTATATAACAAACTTAGCAGATCAATATTAAAGAATACATTACTTTTGTTTAGTGATCTGTACCAATAGTTAACTAAACCAATCAGGATGAACTTCAAGTTGGCAGGTTCTTCTCTGCATATAGGGGCTTCCCTGATAGCTCAGCTAGTAAAGAATCTGCCTGCAATGCAACAGAACCCGGTTTGATCCCTGGGTCAGGAAGATCCCCTGAAGAAGGGATAGGCTACCCATTCTAGTATTCTTAGGTTTCCCTGGTAGCTCAGCTGGTAAGGAATCCATCTGCCATGCGGGAGACCTGGGTTCGATCTCTGGGTGGGGAAGATCCCCTGGAGAAGGGATAGGCTACCCATTCCAGTATTCTTAGGTTTCTCTGGTGGCTCAGCTGGTAAAGAATCCATCCGCAATGCGGGAGACCTGGGTTCGATCCCTGGGATATTCCCAACCCAGGGACTGTAGAGCCCATGGGGTCACAAAGAGTAACTGACTGACTTTCACTTTCTTTTTCTTTTCTCTGCATATAGCATGGCAGTGAAAAAAACAGTATTCATAATCATGATGCTAGGCACCATGAGATCATGAAATGCCTCCTGAATTGTCAAGAAAATACATGTAAGGTGTTAATGTCAGGTTGTTGTGATTGTGTCACAATTATTTGAAACTTCATAGTCATATGATACATTTGTCTTATTTTACTAAAGTATAGTTGATTTACAACATTGTGTTAATTTCTGCTGTACAGCTTAGTAATTCAGTTATATAGAGATATACATTCTTTTTCCTGTTTTCCATTATGGTTTATTACAGGGTATTGAATATAGTTCCCCAGACTGTACCGTGTTGTTTATCCATCCTATATATAATAGTTTGAAAAAAAAAAAAAGAAAAGAGTTTGCATCTGCTAATCACAAACTCCTAGTCCTTCCCTCCCCACCCTCCATCTTCCTTGGCAGCCACAAGTCTGTTTTCTGTGTCTGTGACTGCTTCACAGATAAGTTCATTTGCCATATATTAGATTCCACATATAAGTGATATCATCATATGATAAATTTCAGTCTCTCTACCAAGTGGACCTCAATTCAGTTCTATGGTTTGACAAATATATGGAATACCTACTACCTGCTTGCTACTGTGATGCTGACATAGGAACATAAGAACAGTCATATTCCTGCCTCAGAGTCAAGGATGTTTGATCAAATGGAATATTTTAAAAACTTATTTATTTATTTGGCTGTGCTGGATCTTAGTTGTGGCACATGGGATCTAGTTCCCTGACTGGGGATGGAACCCAGGCCCCCAGCATTGGGAGCACAGAGTCTTAACCACTGGATCACCAGGGAAGTCCCCAAATAGAATGTTTCATTCATCTCAGAATCCTGGGTAGCAAAAAGTTTATGGTAATATGAAATTTACTCCATAGTATTTGTATTTTTTATAAAGAAGACAGTCAGAAATGTGAAAAATAACATTTATTCAAGGTAACACCTTTTGAATTTCCAGTGCTGATTATCAGCAGGGACATATTTTAATGAACATACCTTATATTTCCTCTGAAAACTTGGCCAAAAGAAGAGTATTTGTCTCCTCTCTGTAGAGTACATTTTTTCCATGCAATTCAAAGTGCTGTTTTCATCTTGTCGAGATGGACAGGCTACCCCCAGTCAAGGACAGAGATGAAAGCGGCGCCTGGCAGCCCAGTCAGATGGATGGAGTGGCCTGATTTCCCGAGGCAGCTTCTTGCTGAGTGTCCATCACTGGGAGTGAGTCAGACATACAGCTCAAGGTCTGCAGTAACAGAGTCAGGGAGACAAGGCATATACCACAAACTCATGAAGAGTAACAGTACAGAAAGTAAGTAACAATGCAAGGGAGGCGGTATGTTATTAAGTGTCACAGAACACACAAGTTAGGAAGTCTGGGGCCCTGGAGAGCCTAGCAGAGTTGCCTCAGCACTGGAATACTTTGTGCAAGAAGCAGGAATTGAATAAGTCGGGGGAGGGTGCTGGGTACAAGCAGCTGATGAACAAAGGCGGAATGCAGGGATCAACAGGCAAGTGGCGGTTAGGGTAGAGCTGGGTGCAGGCAGTGCCAAGGGGCTGGTGGGCACAGGTCCTCCAGGCCACCTGGGAGTAGTGGGAAGAATTGGGAAAGTTGGGCAGGAGCTGGACAGGGAGGAAACAGACTGCTGGGTCTGGCTTCCCTCTGGTGTCTAACCGTGAGCTTCTGAAGGTTTTTTGGTAGGAAGAGTTATGAAACCCGGTGTTACATTCTCAAGATCACAGGACTTCTCATCACCAATTGTTCATATTATTCTGTTAAATGAAACCAGGTCCAGTGCTGGTGATTACTCTGAATTTTTGTTTCTTAATGAGTATCAAAGTTCATGATGATTTGATTGTCAATACACACCCGCTCTATTGTGAAGGGCACACAGGAAGCCTTGTTTTTGTTTCTCTGGTGATGTAATGAAGGGCAGACTGGCTCTGCTGGCAATGGGCAAGTTAGTCAACCTCTCTCCGCCTCCTAGGAGTAATATGTGGGCAGTCAGAGCTTCTGTCAGTCAGAGGTGTATCGCGAGGATGGCCCGAGCCAGTATCGAGACAGTCCTTAGAGAAGTACCTGGCATGCAGAGAACGCTGTGGGGAGGGCTTATTAACTGAATCACAGACTATTCTGATCGCACTTTCCCCCGTCAGGACAGCTTGGATATAAACACTGGAAGTGTCAGGCCTTGTTTGAATCTTTTCTTCTAGAAAGAGGGTTTTCAAGAAGGGTAGCCCCCAGAGCCTCCTCAGAATGGAGGGTTCGAGCTGGAAGAGGCTTCTGAGAGCAGCCAGAGAGGGGCTCTTGTTGCAGGTGAGGAAACTGAGAATGTGGCCTCGTGGAGCAGCAGCCTCTGAAGGGCTCCCTGGCTGTCTCTCCCCTCATGCAGAGGCCTCCTCCCACCTCTGGGCTGCTGCCCTTGATCTTTGCCCAGAGGTCACTACAGCCCTGGCTCACGTCCCTCAGGCCTCAGGGCAGAGGTGTCCACCTCCCCGGCCCTCCTGCCTGCCTCTTAGTCCATTCACGCTGCTCTATGTGCTGCTCCCTGGCTGTGCCTGTAAGTGCTCACACGTGCACTGTGGGTCCTCCATATGCCTCACCAGGCGGGGTCCTGTGGTCGTGCTCTCTTCCCGCACTTGTGTCCTGCATGGACACAGCCCCTGGATGAAAGAACAAAGCTTTTTAAGCCCTGCGTAGGGTATGTCTCCTTCACATCTCTGCCTTCTGTGGCTCAATGTAAAGAGCGGCAATGCTGCCAAACCCTGAGAGCATCTCCTGGGTACTGCTCCTCCATCTCAATGGGTGTTAGGTGCTGCTTCCTTTTGAGCCTTCTTTCACACAGGCTGGAACGTGGCAGCCGGGGCCTGCTTACTGTTCTCTGTCCAACCCTGTCCTATGCCTGGTACCCAGCAGGTGTTCACTGAGCATTCAGAATGGATGGAAGAGCTGGTGCAGGCCCCCTCTAATCTGGAACCACTGTCAGTAATCACTTTCTGTCTCAGAACCGTGTGGTAGTTACCATTTCCACTTGCCAGGCATTGTCCATCTTTTTATCAAGGAGCTTTATGTCTACATAGTAGGGACATCCTTGAGACACATCAGTGCAATGGGACAAGCTCACCCTCTTCATACCTTAGGGTCCCTGCACGTGGTGCATACTCTGTGTTGATGAAAAAAAAAATGTGAAAAGCAAGTGAACGTTTCTAGTGAGCGGCCTTATGTAAGTTCAACAGCACACGGCACAGGCTCCAAACTCAGGTCAGTTACTTTATACTTGACGGGATGCTCTTTCTTTGGATCAATTGTGCTTTGTAAATGAAAGGTTTCCCCCCTTATTATTTCCATTCTTGTCTCATCACCACCTAAAATCTCTCCCGCGTATGAGACTTCAACGAAAACTACATTTTTTCTGTCTAGGATACTCTTGCCACACTTATGGCTCAAAGCAGTGTGAACCCCCAGGGGTTTGTACTATAACCACAAACACATCTAGGGCAAATGAAACAGGCGATGTCGCATTCAGAGGAATACGTTAATTTCCATTTCTTTAGAATGGGTTGTTACACAGAGAACCCCAAGCGCCCGGCTCTGTGATCGGAGCCCGATCTGCGGCCCTCGAGGCTTCCCGCTCCCACCGCGCCCTTGGCATCCCGGATGCTGGCCTTGCACCCCTCCCCGTACCCCTCCCCGCGTCCCCGTGGACCCTCTCCGAGGATCCTCCCCCCGCCCCCGTGGACCCTCCCCACCCTTCTCCCTGCGGACCCTCACCCCTCCCCCTCCCCACCACCCCGCAGACACTCACGCTGGGGTCTCACAGCCACTGCAACCGTGGAAACGCCTGGATTTCAGCTGCCAGCACGCGGCAGGCTCCGACCAAGCCTGAGTGTGCGCGCGTGACAGCAGCTGCAAAGCGTTGGGCAGAGTGAGGCGCGTGCGGGCCCCCGCCGCTTGCCCGCGCCGACCTTGACCCAGCCCGGCTCCCGCCCTCGCCCCACGCGCGGCACTGCGCGCCGCGGTGCCGCGCGTCGGCTCCGCGGCCTCCCTGCTCCATCCCGGATTTTCCAGGCCGCCCGGAGCCGCGCCTGCGTCGGGCGCCGCGGTCGACGTGCAAGCGCAAGGCCGGCGTGCCTCGCTATTGGTCGGCTGTCGGTAGCCCCACTGCCGTGCACCGCCCCTATAGGCGGGCACGGCCGTCAGTCACCGGCCCGGCGCCGGCCCGCGGCGCGCCGCGCGTGTCCCGCCCCTCGCCGCCGCTCGTCGCTCGCCGGCCGGCGGCCTCGCTTGGCCCTCAGCTCCGTGGCGGCGGCGGAAGGCGGCCCGGGCCCTCGCAGGCCCATGGCGGCGGCCGCGGCGCTCCCGGGCGCGGGGGGGCCTCCCGCGGGCGGCGGGGCCGGGGGCGGCGGGGGCGCGGGCGGCGGGTCGCCGCCGGGCGGCTGGGCCGTGGCGCGCCTCGAGGGCCGCGAGTTCGAGTACCTGATGAAGAAGCGCTCGGTGACCATCGGGCGCAACTCGTCGCAGGGCTCGGTGGACGTGAGCATGGGCCACTCGAGCTTCATCTCGCGGCGCCACCTCGAGATCTTCACGCCCCCGGGCGGCGGCGGCCATGGCGGGGCGGCCCCGGAGCCGTCGGCGCAGCCCGGGCCCGACGCGGGCGGCGACTTCTACCTGCGCTGCCTCGGCAAGAACGGCGTGTTCGTGGACGGGGTGTTCCAAAGGCGCGGGGCGCCGCCGCTGCAGCTGCCGCGCGTGTGAGTGTGGCCAGGGCCAGGGCCTGGGGGCGCAGGCGGGGGTGCGGCCTGGCCAGCGGGACTCGGACCCCGACCACCGACTCTCAGTCCACTCTGACCCACGATCCTCTACCCCGACCCACTACTAGGAAGGACCCAGCCCCGCGCCAACGAACCTCGCCTGGTCCTAGCCACGAGTAGGGCACAGTCAGAACCCAGAGACTCTAAACCTCATTCCGACCCCGAGCCCTTGTCCATCCTCTCCACAACCAAGACCTAGATCTCGGCATCTGGCCTCGTTCTTCCTTACGATCAGACCAAGACCCTGACTCCATCATCCTGGCAGGATCCCAGTCCATGACCCCAGTGTCCCGGCTTCATCCTTAGTACCCACGACCAAAGCGCAGACTACAATCCCAGCCCGGGACCCCCCCACCCTCGCTTTCCCAAAGCTGGAGGCTCAGGCAGCTGTCCACGTGGGCTGAGGTTTTCTGGGGTTCTCTGCAGTTCTGAGAATATGCACAATATTTTTCATAAGTAGCATGTAGGTAATGGGATTAGAAACGTTGGTTTGGCTGGTGGAACTGCCCCAAACAAAATTCTGTATATTTTTGACTGATGATGGCTTATCTGTTACGTTCTTTTTGTTTTACCTGTTTTCAGTAGTGTATTATTTCAAGCCTGTGTTTCTTAAGCTTCTAAGGACTTCTTTTTCTTACTGTGTTTTTTGTAGCCTAGAAAGTGAAAGCTCTTGAAGAAGCATGATGAATTTTAAAATCTGTGCTCTGAACCCTAAATTTTTGGGAAAACTAGGTACTTTCAACATAACTTTTTTGAAAATCATTTAATTATTTAAAGATTATTATAAGGTCGTATAGAGTGTAATTAAGTGAGCTTCGTGGGGAACTATCAGTCCCACTACAGAGCATTTCAGCTTGGTTCTCTGGTTTTGTGAGGTTAGCCTTTAGTCTGCTTGGAAAACAAACTTGCTGTCTAGGAAATGGTAATTATTCTTCAGAGACTTCTAGATTGTTTCTAAGTAGAACCTTCTTCCACAAACTGAAATTTTTGACTGCTTTTGGTTGTTGGAGATGGGTTAAGATTTGTTGCTTTCTTTATTCCTTGACTTTTATACACGTGTGCTGTGTTATTGCTTAGCCTGGAAAGCTGTACCAGCTAATTCTTTAAACCTTGATGGGAACATTTCAAAGAATGTTATTTTTCAAACCAGAATGCTGTTTGTGTGTATTTATACTATAGAACACCTGAAATTAATGATAGGGACCTGACAGCTGCTTCTTCATTAGGCAGTTTGTTATTTGCAAATAACTTGGTGTCATAACAAAGGGTATTATTATATTTTTACTCTGAGAAGTTTGAGATTTTTAAAGAAAATTGTATTTTTGCCATTCAGCCAGAACTATTTGTTTGTGTTGACATAACAAACATGGAAATAAATGGACTTTCTGTGAGGAGGCAGAATTCAGACTTCTGAGGGGTGGAGTGAGCCTTTAGGAGAGATGATTATTAAGAAAGGCAGTGGGGTAGAGGCCAGGCCTTTGGCCTTCATCTCCTGCTCTTGCACAGGGAAGAGTCCATGGGCCACCAAGGCTGCCACCCGCCCTGGACTTCTTATGGCCCTGGGAACCTCTGCCCATACTGACAGAGGGGAGTGGGTTTTTTCATGAAAGGGGTTTTGGCATTTTTATAGTGTGAGATGAGTAGATAACTGTTAGGATTTAGCAGCACCTTTCTTTTTGTAAGACATTATTTCTAAATTGTTGGTGTAAGGGATAACATACAAGTTAATAGAAGAAACTGTAAAGATGATTGGTGCTAGCCAAATGCAGACAAACTTTAGAAAAAAAATTTTTTTTAAATTAAACTCAGTTTTATGTTCTACGTTCCTTTTAACACTGAAAAATCAAATTGTATTTATTTGAAAGCACCTGTAACTTAAAGTGACTAGGTATGCAGTGGTCTTAGTTTCCCCTGACCAGGGGTCGAACCCGTGCCCCCTGCATTGGAAATGTGGAGTCTTAACGACTGAATCACTAGGGAAGTCCCCAGAGGTTGAAATATTCTTATTGCGTATTTCAGACTTGCTTACTGAATTGAAAAATCACTGAGGAGTTTTTAAAATGTGACAATCTCTGGATGGTCTCTTATTTGAATAATAATTTTATTCCATCTTTAAAATGAATTTGCACTTTATGGTATTTAAAGTTTATGTACATAGAATTTGGAAGAGTACATAAGAAATTTAGACTTGAAGTATGGTTCACTATTTTATTAAAATACTAAATATTAGTTTGGGAGGAACAGAGGAAGATGAGGCCTGTGATCCTGTGTGTTGGCTATCATTTTAAATGGTTTGGATAAGATTTAAGTACAAGCACCTTCTTCATGGTGCTTGTAAGTTCCATACATAGCATGGACTGGTGTGTGAGTGGGTGTATTGGGGGTAGGGGGAGTAAGCCGAACACATGAAGAGTTGCAAGCGTGTGGTTTTCCAGAAAACAAATAATTTCCAAAAATCCTTGATTTGCAACCAAGTATGCAGGGCTGGGTGTTCAGAAATGCAATTTTTTCCTCCCCAGGAGCATCTGACTTGTTGGAAGTTCAGCTGTTATTGAAACTGGGAGAGGGAATTGTCTGTGGAGCTCTGGGCCAGGTTCCTGAAGTGGGCAGATGGAGTGGCCTTGCAGGTGTGACTGGGGCCAGTTGCCTGGTGCTGGAGAGGTAGAACTCAGGCTGGAAAGGATTTGGGGGACAGGTTTGTGGAATGTGAGGTTGCCTAGGCCTGGTGGGGGAGCATTTTCACGGTGGTCAGCGAGAGAATGAAGAAAAAATTTTTTTTTTTTTTGAGGAACAGGGTCCCTGTTTGTCTAAGGACCTGGTGTGACACCTTAGTGAGCAATAAATCAGTGAGATCCTAAATATCTAATAGCCAGACTTATAAATAGAGCAAGTTGAATTTACTATTGCCCAAAAATATTTAACATGCAGAATTGCCATTGTACCTATTTAGAAAAGTGACCCTGTTTCTATGCTACATTAACTGCCTATTAATTGGTGATATAACACCACCTCCTCTTTCTTATGTGGTATGTTTGAACTTGCAGATGAAGTTTGGTAATGTCACATTTGAAGACTTTCTCATTAAATCATAGAGAGCTTCCTCTTAGGTGAGGATGGGAGAGACCTGAATAAACAGTGGCTTCTGGAGCTTTGTAGTTGAAGACTCCCAAGAAAAGAACTGAAGGATCTCACAGCGACTCGGTCCTGCTTAGATGATAGGGATTGGGCAGAATGAAGGTTCCTAGAGAATAACAGTACCTGAAAGAGGGAAATAGGAAGGGAGTGCCGAGAGAGGAGAGCTGTGGGAAAGGGACAGTGACTTGCAATGTCACCCTCCATTGGGAAGCCATGGGCTTGGTGATTAGTGTTTGGAGGGTGAGGAAGGAGACAGGATGTGGGACTCCTGGGGGAAAGAGAGGGAGAGAGTGGAGGTGTAAGAAATGGTTGTGGGGAGGAGATGGATATTATAAGGACAGAGGTGAGATTAGGGTTAGAAGGAGGGTAAACCATATGGATCGCTAGGGTGAAGTGGGTGGGGGAAACTGCTGAGGGATGTAGTCAAGGTCCAAAGACTGGACAGATGACGTGTGGAGAATATAGAGTTGCCAGCAGGAGATGATAAAAGGAGGGTGTCTTCTTTGGAGACCTAAGCAGAGCCATTAGTGAGGTCTGGCATGATTTCTTGTCTCAGGGCTGCCAGATTGGCTGAAACACCTTCATTTTATCCCCTGAGCCTCTGATCAGCTTGTGGGTAGAGCTAAGAGCTGGGGCCGAGGATTGCTGGAGTCCCCAGAAGTGGGCAACATGTAATGGCAAATCCTTAGCAGAGAGGCAGAGCTGCTTTGCACTTTAGAAAGTGCTCAGTGTATAAATTAGTTGCTTTTAAGAGCCACTATGTATTTTTTTAAAGCTACAATGTTTATTCATTTGGCAAATTGAGATACATTTTTATTATCCCTGATTTGTAGACATTGGGAACATAGTGCAGCTTTTTTAGCATAAAACTTACTTTACTATGTTAAAAATAACCCAATAACCAGCTTTCTTGTACTTTACTAGTGCTTAGTAATTCTTGTAGTGGTAGAACTCTCTTCATTTTAAATGTTTACTTAAGGAGTAGCTTTAGATTTTAAAATAGTTTGAATTTCTAACACATTTTGAGAAACAGGGCTACCTGATGGGACCTGTCACCTGTAGTGGTTATTAGTGTGCAACTAATTGTATCAGGAGAAAGCAAGAATGGGCACTGGGGCTGGACAGACTGGAGTCAGATTCCAGCCCAGCTACTTAATCTGAGTTTTAATTCCCTCACTTTTAACAGGGGTAATAACTGACCTTGTGTGGCATAATTAGCACCAGGCCTGTGCCCTTGCCCTTGCTAGACATCAGGGGCTGCTTGTATTTTATCGCAGTGTTCTGGTGTGGAGGGGCCTGGGGAGAACTAATGTCACAGGAAATGTGACATGGTGAAAATGTCCTCAAGGGGCCAGCACTCTCCAGCTTGCTCGTAGCTCCACACATGTGCATGCAGTAGATTGATCAAAGGCCTCTGGGAGTAGTGAGCAAAGTCTGAAATTTCTTTAGCCAAGAGAAGTTGTCTTTTCTCCACCAGGACCTGAGGGTAAAGCCCGGCATGGGATGTGATTGCTGCCATCAAGCAGGCCGAGTCAGGAGAGGTCTGTTTCAGGGTGCCCTCTCTCCTAGAGCCTCCGTTTTGGTTCTGCCCCACTCCAGTATGTCAACTTCACGACAAACCTTCCCTGTTTCAGGGGGAAATTAAAAGTGCCTCTGCCTTGGGGCAAAGTCAGGAGGGAACTGGGTAAAAGTCATGTCCTGTTTGTGGTCTGATTTAAAGAATTCTTGTTCCTTAATGCCATTGGCCAAACTGTTATTTTGTTAATGAAGAGTGGCTTCTCTGGCCAATCAAAGAACTTTGCAAT